AACAAAGTAAAAATTTTCATATGGGTAGCAGTTCTTACAAAGTGCCAAACTCCAAAGTTTCTTCTAATGAGTTCAGATGTCAAATAGTAAAAATTTGTTTTACAATGCTCTTGAATAAATAAAGACTGGGGAAAAAATTGAGAGGAAACATGTTTGTTTGGGTGGGTTGCTAAGCAACACCACCCATCCTGGAGCCTCCTTTTGGATTTCCTTTTGAAGGTGGAATCTGTGGGACCATGGCTATTTCAGCTTGCGTCTGCTTTATGGGTTCACACCGAAAAGTAAAAGCAAAGCAGGACACAAACAGGCAATTCTAAAATTACAGAAGGGAGAGGTGTGGAGAATTCTAAATATTAAATTAGACTGGACTGTTTTTAAAGTTGCCTTTAAACGTTTTTTCTGGTGTTCACGGTGGCACTAAACTAGGAGATGGGGTTTGTATACATGTGCTCAGAAGAACCTACCACACAGATGAAATAAAACCAAACAGCCTCCAAATAGCTATGTTACCTATCCCACATGGTATTTCAGGCCCTGCAAATGGAAATTTGTAATATGGCAATGGGATTGTGGCAACCAGATGCAGAAAAATACGAATTTGCACATCTCACTTATTTAATAAGAGAAAACTTATGAGAAACAGGATTTTAAGATGGGTATTAAAGGAAGGAATTCTGTGGGTAGGGAGAGAAATTTACAGCCTCAAGGCCTTCTCAAACAAAAGCTAGGAACTCTGAAGAGGAAAACCACTGCAAGGTAAAAGCACAGAAGAGGACATTAATAAACCAGAAAGAATGAGTAGGTATTTGAGCAGGAAGCATTGGATGGCTGGTGGAGGGTTTATGAAGACTAAGATTAAAACTTGTAGTGAAACTCCTGGAATGTAAGACTGAGGATATAATGGATCGGATACTATCCAAGTAATATTATACAAACAGTTCTGTGAATATTTTAAAAACCACATTTCTTGAGATGATTTGTAATTAATATTTTGGGTAAGCACGTATCGAATTCTGAATTTTATATGCAAACACACTTCCAATCAATCTGAATTCTTTTGTGGATAAGAGTATAAGGAAGAATGTTTCAAGTTTGGGTTTAAACAATGGGCACTATTTAAAAAGACATTTTGTTATTATTATTAACTACAGAATAAAGTCTGTACTCTCATGTATCTGAGCCCTTCCATGATCTGGTCCTCCCTACCTTCACCTCCCATGCCAGCCTGAGTAGTTTCTCTTCTCAACCCCTTCTTGTTTTGAGTAAGTCAGCCTTCCTGCTGAGTTGATATTAAATTATATTCTCATCTGTTGTTATTTAGACTCAGGATGTGTATCTTTCCAATGAGATTTTAAGTACCTAAAGAAGCTGACCCGAAGTCTTTTGTTTTTTTTACTCTTAACTAAAATAATAGTGTTATTTACTGTGCATCATAAAAGCACAGAACTTGAACCCACTAAACAGTAATTGAATTACTTTGTTCCTTCTATTATTCCTTGATATTATTGTTTCTCCATTCAGTACTCCCTTTCATATGTCTCTGGACAATAGACCCACTAGCAAAGAATAATTAAGAGCAAATAATAAATGACTAAACTAAGCAGTAATCTGCTCTCCTCTAAACCTTGCACTGTGGAAAATCAAAACATCTTTGGGCAACAAATATCACAAAACTGAAACTAGCATATTGAGCGGTGACTTAGTAATAGCTTCATGTGGGTATAACTTATTCCATGAGCCCTTGGGCCATAGAGGAGAGTCAGTCATATATAAAAGTTAAAAGAAGCTCTTCAAGAAGAATTAGGAAATCCCAATCTTAGTCAAATGGCTAGCTGGTGAAAGAAAATGATGGCACCTGACAAGACTGAGTCCCTCCACAAATTCACTGGGAATGTAAGCTCCTTAAAGGCCAGGCTTTTTGGCTGTTGCATTCCTCCTGGTGTTATACCTGGCACGTTGTAGGCGCTCAACTATTTATATGGAATCCTCTGTACTGAGCATGAAGTGCCAATCCTCAAGAAACTCATAGTCCAGTTGGGACAAAGAATGCCAAGGAAATAATTATAAGATTCAACCTGCCTGCCATGTATTAATTCACATAATACTCATGAAAACACTATGAGGTGAATTTATGATTCCCATTTTTCCAGGTACAGGGAGGTAGGGTGACTTGCTCAAGGTCTCACAGCTAGGAGAAGGCAGAACAGGATCTGACCCCAGGGTTCAGAATTGGCACACTGCAGGCCCAAGGCAAAGCATGTTTGTGACTCGAGGACCACTGGTGCTTCTCCTGGCCTTGGATCCCGCACAGTGCCTCACTGGGGATGATGAGGCCCTAGGAGTATGGAGGAGATGTTTCATAACACTCCACCCATTCGGAAAACATGGATGCATCTCACACTTAGGAGGCCCCCAGAATCCTCTGAGAAGATTCAGAATTTCAGGCCTAAATCAATGAAGTTGGAGAGAGCACCCAGGACCTATATCTTTAATAAGGGCTGCAAGTGCTGCTGATTGTCTTCTGATCACATTTTAAAATGCTGCATTAGATGTACTCTCCAACAGAACCCCTCGTTCAGATTTTTTACTCTCTTTCCAGGCCTGGCTTTCCGCTAGCATGTGTCTGTTAAGAATCCATTGACTGTTCAGCTTGGTGGTGCTGGACAGGCCATTGGCATCTTTAGAGCGTCCTTGGATGACAGACATCATCACCCTTACCCAGAACTGGTATTTCTGGCTTATTTTGTCCATCTTCTCTTGAGGGCGGGGGCTGTGTCATACTTGCTCTGCATACCTAGCTCCTAACTCAGGGCCCAGGAGATGTCTTTGGGATGCATTGATGGACAGTATGTGCCAGGCCTAAACTTCTCCAGACCCAACTTAAGTGAAGGGCACTGATACATACATAGATGAACGGCAGGACTGGGGGATGGGTAGCCAATGATCTCCAAAATAAAATCAGCATGTTATGACCACATGGGGAACCAACAAAGCAGAAGATTGTTTTCAGCAGAACTGGCTCTTTCGGGCTGAACTGTGTCCTCTGCAAAAATCCCTATGGTGAAGCCCAAACCCCAAGTACCTCAGAATGTGACTGCATTTGAAGATAGAGGTTTTTTTAAGGCAATTAAGTTAAAATGAGATCATAAGAGTCCACCCTAGTCCAATATAACTGGTGGCCTTCTAGGAAAGACTAAGAGATTGGGACACAGACACGCACAAAGGTAAGACCATGTGAAGGCACTGCAGAATGGCCACCATCTCCAGCCAAGGAGACAGACCTCAGGAGAAACCAACCCTGCCTACACCTTGATCTCAGATTTCCAACCTCCAAATTGTGAGATTTGGTATCTGTTGCTTAAGCCACCCAGTCTGTGGTAACTTGGTATAGCTACCCTAGCAAACAACAGGAGCGGATTATGAAAATTTACTCATCCAAAGTACAGAAATGACATTTTACCCTTTAAACTGTCAGAAGCTCTCAGAGGTGTCTAAGCATCAGTATGACATGAGCAACTTTGGTTCTGGGTAAGGCATACCTCAGAGATGTTATAAGTTCAGTTTCAGACCAGTACTATAAAGCAATACCACAGTAATGCAAGTCAAATGAACTTTTTGGTCTCCCAGTGCACATAAAAGTTATGTTTATACTATACTGTAGTTTATTAAGTATGCAATAGCATTATGTCAAAAAAAAATTTTAACTAAGAAATACTTTATTGCTAAAAAATGCTGAACATTATCTGAGTTTTCAGCGACTTATAATCACTAATCATAGATAAATGACAAACATAATAATGGACAAGTTTAATATGCTGTGAGAATTACCTGAATGTGACACAGGAACACCAAGTGAGCAAATGCTGTTGTAAAAATGGTGCCAATAGACTTGATCCATAGAGGTTGCCACAGACCTTCAATTTGTAAAAGATGTAATATGTGTGATGTACAATAAAGCCAGGTATGCCTGTGTAATCTGGAGACGGTGGAAAGACACCCTCAAGTGGAGAATGGAGGTGGAATTGACAGATCTATTGTTGCAATGAGGAATGAAACAAGACATAGGGCCCTGGCCTAAATCATTGACAAAGGGAATTCAAAACAGAGGACCTATCAGGGAGACATTTGTGGGGCAGAAGTAAGATTTCCGGAAGATGACGTGTGGGACGGGAAGAGTAGACAGTAAGGGTATCTGAAGAACTGTAGCTTGGGAAGTGAGGAGACAGTGATGCCTCAAAGCTCAGCTGGGTATAGAGGAGGTGAACCAGGCTGTAAAGGCGGGGGAAAGATAATACGTTCGATATGGCATAGGTCAGATCTGACATCACCGCAGAGCCTCGCGTTGGGTGAGCTCGGTAGAGTGGGGCTACCGTCCTGAACCCGGGCCTGAGGTGGGATGCGGTTACTCAGGAGCCACTGTGGGCTCCAGCAGCGGGGAGGGCGGGGAGAGCTCACCCTCGGAGCACCAGCCAGCTGAGAGTCCCGAGGCCGAATCCTGGGCAGAGACTGAAGAAGCCATCCAAAGAGTAGCCGAATCAGGGAGAGCAGGGCTGCCAAAAACCAAGCAAGCCCGCATTGGTAGTTAGCTTCCAAATGAAGAAAACACTGCTTTGCCGCCGCTGCAGGCCAGCTGGCGCTGGATCTCACTAGGTCACACCACTCCACAACACGGTTTTCTCTCGTTCTCTCTCTCCCTGCGCTTGGGTAAATCGAGGCCGGAGTGGGCGGGGGTTAACGGGGACGTAGGCATTATCCCCAGGGAGCTCAGGCCGTGCCAGCTGCAGAGGCGCTTTCCCCGGAGGCGCGCGGGCTTGCAGCGCCCCCCTCCCTGCCCGAGCCCGGCCGCCCCGCTCCCCCTCCTCCGGGAACCGGGCCCGGGAGCGCCCGCCCAGCGCGCCGCCCGCGGAGCGGCTTCCTCGCGCCTCCCCCACCGAACGCGCCCCGGCCGCGGGGCTAGGCGGGCCGAGGGGGCGGGCGAGGGGCGTGGGGCGGCGGGGCGGTCGGGGGCGGGGAGCAGGAGGTGGCGGGCCCGGGAAGAAGGGAACATGGCTCCTGCGGCGGGAAACGCCGAGCGGCGCGCGGGGCGAAGGCGGCCCGAGAGCCAGTGAGCGCGATGGTGAACCCGAGCCGCGTGCAGCCGCAGCAGCCGCCCGCGCCCCGAGCGGCGGGCCCCGGCCGGCTGATGGCGGGCGGCCTCCGCGAGCACAGGGGCCTGGAGATCGAGATGGAGCGCATCCGGCAGGCGGCCGCGCGGGACCCGCCGGCCGGAGCCTCGGCCTCGCCCTGCCCTCCTCTCTCGTCGTGCTCGCGGCAGGCGTGGAGCCGCGACAACCCAGGCTTCGAGGCCGAAGAGGACGAGGAGGAGGAAGAGGAGGTGGAAGGAGAGGAAGGGGGAATGGTGGTGGAGATGGACGTGGAGTGGCGCCCGGGCAGCCGGAGGTCGGCCGCCAACTCCGTGAGCACGGCGGGCGCCCGGGGCCGAAGGCTGGGGGGCTACCCCGGCGCCGGCCAACCGAGCGGGAGGCGGCGCCGGCGGGAGGACCAGGGCCCGCCGAGCCCCAGCCCGGCCGGCGGCGGGGACCCGCTGCATCGCCACCTCCCCGTGGACGGGCCGCCGCCTCGAGTGGCCTGGGCGGAGAGGCTGGTTCGCGGGCTGCGAGGTAAGAGCGCGACCGGCAGCGGCGGATGCACAAACCAGACCCGCGGGCGCCGGCCGGAGCCATCGCCCGCCGCGGGCAGCTCTCCCGGGCTCCACCTGGCATCCCCTTGGCGTCCTCGCCTCCCTTGGAAGCGCATTCCCCACCTCTGCTAATTCTGCTCTATTTCCGGTACCCATCACGGAATTCCACTGCGCCCTTGTTGGTACACATCTATTGGATACCTCCTTCTTCTAAAAGAAGAAGGTAGGGCAGCATATTTTTACTTCTGGAAATAAGTGAAAACCGTCTTAGTGAAGGGTGCATCTGGAGATTTTTTTTTCTTGTAGGAAAGAAATGAATATTCTAATACAATTGAATTTGCAGTCGTGGTGGCCATTGCATATTTGCTAATTTCACTAGATCCAAACGAAAACTCCATAGTGGTACCAACGGTCTGCTGCTTGTCAGCTTGCCCTGTTGCCCCTTATCCCGTGCTGAAAAGAGCCACAGTACTGTGTTACCCAGGCTGTGGGAGGTGTGCCATTGGGTTGTCATTGATGTTTTGTGATGTGGGTGGCTGTTTGGGGGAGAAGGAGCTGTTGACAACACCAGAACAGAATAAAACTAGGTCTGTGGAAACAGTTATTTGGCCGTTTCTGATTCTAGGCATTTTTCTGAAACAGCTGTAAAGAAAAGGTTACATTGTTTAAAAAACTTTGGAAGAATGTTTTTAAATAACTAAATTAATGTTCTTTGAAATGCCAGCAAACCAGTGAAGTCACCAGATACCAGCTCTGTGTAAATTGTGTGTCAGAATTCAGTGCACCCAGCTCTCCAAAAGACAGGAAAGGAATTTCCAAATTTGCCAGCGCCTATTAAGAAGGCACAGAAGTTTCCAAGAGCAGATGGGATCCTGTTTTCACAGTTTTGTCAGAGACATCCTTACAGAAGAGTTGCATTTGCTCTTTAACACCCAAGTTATTTTAATCTTCACTGTTAAGAGTTCCCATTCTCAGTTCTTTTGAACGTTTCCCTTTCCTTCTGTTCCCTTTCTATCAGTTTTGAAAGTCTTGCACAAAAACTATCCAGGTGTTTTTATAATAGCAATGTGATGAAAGCCAAGTCAGGCCTACATCAAATCCCAGTTCTACCACCCATTGGCTGTACGACCTTGAGCCAACTGTTTAACCTCTCATCCCCAATTTTTGCCTGTTTTTCTTAGGTAATCATAGATATAGTCATTTAGTTATTGACTCAGGAGCATTAAGTGAGATGAGACAAGGAAAATATGTAGCAACTCTGCCATGTTGTGAGTGTTTCATAAATATAAATTAAATTCTTAAAGTGTACATTTTGGTACTTCTTTTACATGCTTATGCTAGTTAATTTGATTCAGGGCATGGTGGGGAACAAAAGATCCTTTTTGAGTAATGTGTGTGGTAGATTAGTAAAAACTTTTAATACTTTTAAGGTTCCAAACTATTCAAATTTTATGTTAATTTATATTGTTTTAAATGTGCTTTTTAAAACTGAAGTGAGAGAGAAGTTTCTTGTAAGTTAATAAATGATGGTAAGCGGTGATCTTTTTAACTTGGTTTAAGCATTTGATAACACACTTAACCTTCTTTGAATAAACTCAATAATGAAATATATTTTTATATGACTATATACATACACACACAAGTTTAATTTTATTTCAGGTAATTTGCAGTGAATAAGCTCATAGTAAAACATAGTCAAACCTGATCACTGGTCTAATTAGTAGAACAGGTTCAGGAAAATCTTATTGATAAAAAAATTTTAGAATAAATTTCATTTTACTACCTTTATGAAGAAATATAATTGACACTCTTGTCACTTATTAAATAAGCAACATTTGTTACATAATTGCACCCACTCTGAAAATAGCAATGTATTATGTGTAACCAAAAAAAAGAAAGAAAATAGCACATCACCATTTTTCTTGATAGAAGACCAGAAAAGTAAAATGAATAACCATGAGTTCTGATTATTTCCCTCTTGTGACACCAATAATAAAGATCTTATATGCATTATGTAAGTAGTGCCCAGGATCAGAACAGAAAATAACTTGCAATTTCTAAAGGTGAGAGAGATTTCTCAGGTTTGGAGTGGTCAGGAGCTTCCATGGAGGTCTTCTGCCTTAGTGACTTTACAATAAACTCAGGCTTACTGGGCCTTGGTTCCTTGTTTATGAAGTGGAAAAGCTCAACCTCCGAGAACCCTTCTGGCTTCAACGCACACTGTGTTGTTTAGTCACAAGAAATGGTCATTTTTGCTCATTGGACAGAAGGTAGATCTATCTAATTAGCAGAAGTAAAATAATAAAGGAGAAATGTTTGAGACCTGATTGGGGGAAGCACTGTGACTAACCAAGGAATTCAGAATTTATCCCTAAATATTTGGAAGCAGTTGGACCAGAGGAAACAAAGATGGCTAATAGATTTAAAGATTGCCCCCTAAAGTATCATCAAGCTCTCTAGGGCAAAGAAAATTTATCCTCTACCTGAGTTACCACATTTTCTGTATTTCCAAAGTTGAATATGTTTTATGGATGTATCAACTTTTTAAAGTCATTTCCTGTTCATTAGTTTAGACATACACGCTTGGGGTCCTCCCAGAAGTCTTAAGTACTAGCTGTTTTGGTCAGAGTAGGCTAAGCTGCTAGAACAAATAGATATTTCCTCTTCCATTTGCTATATTGTATCAACACTACCCATTCCAGAACATTTTCATCAGCCCAAACAAACTCTATCCATTGAACAATCTACTCCCCATTTCTCCACACCACCCCCAAATGCCATTTAACATCTATTCTACTGTCTGTAAATTTCCCTGTTCTAAGTGCATGATATTCATGGAATCATACAACATTTGGCCTTTCGTGTCTGGCTTATTTCACTTAGCGTAATGTTTTCAAAGTTTATTCATGTTGTAGCGTGTATCCAGACTTCATTCCTTTTGATAACCAAGTAATATTCAGTTGGATCTATGAACCACATTTAGTTTCTCCATTCATCAGTTGATGAAAGAGTTGGGTTATTTCTACCTTTTGACTATTGTAAGTTTCCCTTTATTTTTAATCCAAACCTTACTCCATCACTTCCTTTATCCTTGTTATTTGGACTATAATTTTGAACAAATGACATTTTGTGTTTTCATTACTGTGGGGATTTTTTGAGGGAAGGTTGCTACTCTGGGGTTTGTGATAAGATTATGCTCGTAACAGTATCTGTGCAATCAGCAAACGTAGGCCTCCTCTGTGGTAGGTGCTAGGGATACAAATATGAATAATACAAGGTCCTAACTCTCAAAGAGTTCAGAATTTAGGGGACACAGAATGTAAGTAAATAATTGCAAGATCCCAGGTAAGGGGGGGACACAAAGAAGAGAGGACCAGTTCTATCTGGGGAGACCGGAGGAGTGGAACTTAGTTGCATGTTGAAGAATGAGGGGGAAATTGAGGCAGGGACAGTGGTAAGTGCAGACAAGCCTGTGGCTCACTGATACTTTTTCCTGTAGCCAGAGCCAGTGGGGCAAGCAGAGGGCTGATTATGTCAATCTGAAGATAATTCTAGCAGGAATGTAGGGAATGGGGAGAGGTGGATAGCCCTGATTGCTGGAAGAAGAGGTCAGGAGAGGGCTGACGAAGACAGAGGAGCAATGGAGGCTGCAGCTAAGGTATGTAAGCTGGAATGGAAGGAAGCTAGATTCAAGAGATGGAAACCATCAAAATTGTGGACCAGCCCCACATGAGGGTTGAGAAAGGGGCCTATTTGAGGATGAAACATGTTTCTGGCTTGGTGCCATTGACCTAAACAGAGCCAATATGTTTCTAGAGAAAGAAAGAAAAGGAAAAGTCACAGTTTGGGCCATATGAGTGTAAACTGTTGATGGTGTAATCAGGTGGAACTGGCCCTTAGCTGTGGCATATTCTTGTTTGCACACCAGGAGAGGCCTAAGAATTCAAGATTAGGAGTCAGTATCATATAAGGTAGGAACTGACTTATTCTATAGAAAATGGACCAATAGTAGTAAAAAGTCAGTTCCCTTTCTAAAGGTGTCCCTGCAATTCAAATTAATATTAGGAAGGATTGTGTTGATCTTTCCAAACAAGACCCACAATATGTGAACACAAAATCAGGATTCTTTTATGATACAAATGCAGTGAGCACTTAGTTAGGCTATTCACAGTGAACTCAAAGTCCACATGAATTTGGGTCTTTATGCCATTCTGAAATCTGGGCCAACTAGGCATCAGAGGTAGGACATTTTACAGATTTGGACCTTTTTCTGTAACTATAGATGGTCCTCTTCCTACCAGTCTGCATGATTTACACATAATACTTCTGATTCCCAGAGCAACACTACAAAGGGGTACTCCTATCCCATCTTCAGGTGAGGAAATAGAGGCTCCTGACATTAGCTAAGGTCTCATAACTCAGAAGGTCTCATGGCTCATAAGTGGCTGAGCCCTCATTTGAACAAAACTCTGACTCCAAAACCCCTCATTGCACCCTCTCACAAACAGTAAGTCACTGGGGTTTAGTGTATGTCAGATGGGTCAGTGTTAGTGCAGGGCAAGATATGTACATTTAATCGGTTTACCATGGAACTGAAATATTTACAGATGAAATGAGACAATAGCTAGGATTAGTTTCAAAATAATTGGGGAGGTATGGGTGAGGGCTTAGATGAATCAAAGTTGGCATTGATAATCAGTGAAGCTCAATAAGAGAACATTATATCGTTCTCTGTGATTTTTTAAATATATTGCAAAACAAGGCTTTAGAAGCCTTTGGTAAAGTAGTTGCAAAAATGGAATTTTTTTTCAAAGTCACTTACATTTGGGATTTTTTCTTATGTTTGGATTATCCATCTCAGAGTTCCCCTATTTTCATATTAATAAATGACATTGCACAGTGGAATACATGCTGTTTATATCATGTGCTCTGACTTTGGCCTCTACCATTGACCAAGCACCCTCATAAACATGAAAGTTGGGTATTGTCCAGTGTCCCCCTAATACCACATTCTCCCTAACAACTAGAGACACCTTAAGTACTGAACATGGATGCTGGGAAAGTATTCCCTCCACAACTTGGGACAGCTGGGGGGAAAGGCAACAGTTAATTTTGAGGAATGCTGCATTTTAGACATGAACTCTGTTCTTAACCATTCTTATCTGTCAGTTCTGCTACATGTGAAAAGAACTCTTCTTCTACAGAGCAACTACTTCTCTAGTTTTTTTCTATTTGTGGATGCAGCCATTTCTTACCCATCAGAATGCAGAGGTCTCTGTATGCTAAGACAGAGCCTTACTTAGTGGGGAAACTGGATGAGCTTTTTAAAGCCATAAACATTTGAGGACGTAGAGTAATTTAGAAAAAGCAAATGCATGAAAGTATAGTATATAAAAATATAAATAAAGGGATTTGTTTCTTTTCATTTGAAATGTTTTATTCAAGGGCTGGAATTAAATTACCATAGACCATTGCAACCTTAACTTGAACAAAATTTTATAGGAGTTTGGTTTTTCTATTTATAGGTCAAGCAATACCGTTTGTAAATATTAAGAACCATGACTCTTCCTTATTGCATAATTGTTTATAAACCATGGGAAAGAGTGATATCCTCAACCAAGTAAGGCAAGACAACAATCCTTTCTGATGGTAAAGAAACTGGCAATCTCGACTTATGTGTATATTTTAGTCCTGGCCTCCAAAAGAAATATACCCAGAGAAATGATGTGGTTGGGTCCTAGGCTACTGAGCTTAATATTTGGCTGCTTCTGTGTTACTCAGAGCTGTAATTTTCCATGTCATCTACATTTTTAATAATTGTTTAATATGATAGAGTTTCAGTGAACAAAAACATTCTGCTTGCTGCATTTCTTCTGAGTGAGTAATTCCCTGACAGCTAGCAGATCTTGGCAGAGGCTAACCTGGTCATAAGTTTTGCTCCACTTTCAGTATGGTAAAATCTATGATGTGAAACACAGTGTCTTTGAATTCAGATGCTGATTTTCCTAAAGGAAATTTTGAGAGGGTGGAGGAAAAGGAAATGAAATACCCAAATTCAGGAGTAGAATTAATATATCATGTATTCTGAGACTTAAAAAAAACATAACCACTGGTAATAAAGTCATCTCTTCAAAGTAAAAGAAGGCATACCATTTTCCCCTGTTCTCTGTGTGGCTTGATTGTAACATAAGTGGCTCAAGTTTCAGTGACGAAGGGCTTAAAGTCTGGAATAAAAGGGTGCAGCAATATGCAAGCGCCAAGCTGGCTGCCATTAAGAGCCCACCTAATAATATAATTGAAGGGATTGAGAAGTTTGTCTCTTTTGGAAAACATGAAGGGTTTTCCAAGTAGTGAGCAATGTGACTTTACAGCACCGTCCATCAATGGGGGTTTGATGGCCACCATGTCTGTCCGCAGGCCGAGTCCAAAGACACCGTAACTGTATCCAGCAAGCTCGCAGAGGGTTATGTCATCTTCGCTCAGCCAGCCCAACACCTTTTTCATCTGCTAAAACAGAGCGTGGTTCCTGATTTTACTTTTTCTCCAAAGAGAGGATAAATTGCCACTTTTAATTTAAAGATATGTGCTTATTGGCATGTTAAAAATCTGTTAAGCTAAGCATGCTTAATGTAGTCAGCATTAAGTTTCTTAGAGTACAAAGATGGATACAGAGCTGAGACTTTATGCCATTGTGCTAGAAGCTTGACAGATGTTTCCATAGTGAAATGATGCTCCAACCAGGACTTCTTGTCATCAGAGAGGGCCTAAAAGGCATCATTTGTGATGTAGTTTTATCACATTCTAACCAGGTTTCATAATTACCAAGTTGTGCCCTCCCCAAACAGTAAGCACTGATGTGTGCACAGTTATTTAATCTCCTTTTTTAAACTGCCCTCACTTACTGCTCTCTTTCTAAAATTTCACTAAAATATTTTCTAATGAGATTGAGAGTTTAGACAATGATCAGTTGTTGCCTTGTGTTCTGCATAGGGGGGCACATAGAGGCTAACGTATTCTTAAATAAAAGATACTCCTGCTAAAATAATTTGTTAAATTCAGAGTGTACTAAAAGGTAGAATCTCCCTTAAAGGTTATACTATATATTTTATGTGTTTTCCCTTTGCAATTCATGAGATTTTTAAAAATAAAATGATATTTTAAAATTATTATTTTAAAGGTCTCTGGGGAACAAGACTCATGGAGGAAAGCAACACTAATCGAGAGAAATACCTTAAAAGTGTTTTACGGGAACTGGCCACATACCTCCTTTTTCTCATAATCCTGTGCATCTGTAAGTAGAACATTTCCTTCCACTAAGGAAAAGTTTTGAAACTATTTGACCTGTCAAACTTGTAATTAAAAGAAATTATATATATGTACCAGAAAGGTTAATTCAGAAGTTGTCTGTTTTCAGTTCCAATTTAGAATTTGGTAAAGCTCTCTTCTTGCCTCTGGTGAACATTAATTAAAATTTAGCATCATTTGATTGGCCAGTTCACTGTCAGTTGTGACCATTTCACTATGAGATACACATGGCAACCTGCCGGACCCCAAGAAACCAAGTAAAAGAATTTTTGCAGTAGAGTTAACAGTAATTACAGTGTCGCTATTAATACATCAATTAACAAAGTCTAAGAAGTATTATTTTCAACAGAATGGCTTTCTAAGTTTATCTTTTAGGAAACACAAATAATGTCACCTAACATTGCTCTTTTGTTCATATATGTTTAAAAGTCCCCTTCTTTTGGATTTGGATGTGTTGTATGGATGCCTTCATTCTAAATCATAATTTCTTCCAAATCTTTGATAATCAATGGATTTTTACTCTATAGGAAACTTACAGTGGACTCATCACTTTCTTCTTCTCTTCTGTTAGCATGTCCCTGCATCTTCTGGGAGGGGAGAGGAGAAAAGCCTTAGTCAAAAATGAGTCCTAGAAACTATATGCCTCAAAGTGCAGGAAGTCCCAGGCAATGAATTTATTCTCTGAGTCAAAGCATATTGGATGATTGAATTCTGCTGTGGCCCTTCAGAACCTCTTTAGTAAAACAGCCCAGAAGCAAACTCCAACCACCAGGACCTCTTACCATACTCCTCTGGGAAAGGAGTTCATTCCTATAACATAAGCTTAGAAACTAACACTAACCTTGGAGAAATCCCTTTCTTTGTATATGGAGAGAGTCAAAATTTAATCAACACTTAAATAGTGCCATTCTTATTATATTAAAATTGACCACTTGGAAGACTTTAATTAACTAAATGCTAAAAACTTCACTGAAACATTTATTTTTCTATTTACTAGGTTTATAAAAAGAAAAAAAAGGTTTTTAAGTTGAACATGAAAGATGAAGGAAACATTTAAGTTTCAATATTGGTAATTTTAAGACATTGAATATTAATTTATTTATTTCCCCACACTGGTTTTTACTAATACTAGTAAGTTCTTAATAAACTTTAACAGGGCATGACTTACTACATTTTCTGAGACTTTGCCTATCCAAGAAAAACAGAAGTTACTTAAGCTAAAAAGCATGTAATGAATAATATCCGTCTTCTTGGACTTCTCAAATTTTCTGAAATTTTCTGTTATTTGATGAGGAAGGAATATAGCTTTTAAAATGACAAATATCTTTTTTTTAATAGAAAATAAGTAAATAAAAAATGTCTCCTTTTAAAACATGTTATCTAAGACATGCTGAAAAGCTAGAAGTGAACTGTTCCTTACATTAAAAGTTATAAAGCAAGAGATGTGATATTCTTAATTTCTATGTTCTAAGCTGTTAGGGCCTAGAATACTGAAGTAGAGTTTGCTTCCTGCATAGAAATGATGCTTAAATATTAAACTACAGCAGCCTTAAATATTAACAGGTTGATTAGAATCATTATTAGTATTGAGTTTTCTCGAGCATGGCACAGAATACTTCATATGCAAAATAGAAGTATCCCTATAAGTAAGTCTAGAATTTCAGTCATCCCCAAAACTGCCTCAGCATCAGAATCACCAAGAGAATTTTTTTCTGATTATAGTTTGTCCAGATATACTAAATCAGAGCCTCTCAGATGTGGCCCAGAGAAGTGAGTTTCAGATGCACCAGCAATTTTGGGAACTCAGCCAGATAAATGAACTAAGTTGCTAGAGTTTTAGTAAACATGTCTTAAGTCTTATAATTAGTGTTTTGTTATTTATTTTAGAATTTTTATTCTTTTGTTCTTTTTCATTAATGACATTTTTTTTAGTCACTTACATACTTACAAGATGCACAGTTTCATTTGCAGAATATTGTAGAATCTCTGGCTTAGAAGGGGTTTTAGCAGTAATACAGTCAAGCCTCCACTGAATGCCAGAATTTCCCCTCCAACATCCCTCTCAAATGGTCAGTCATCCTGCCTCTGGTGGAACAAAAGTTTCACAGTAAGGGACTTACTTCTTTGAAATAGTTCATTTTGTTTTTCTATGGCTGTTAGAAAGTTCTTCCATATATGAAGCCAGACACTACCCCATCTAACTTCCACTCTTAGTTCTACTCTCTGAGCCCACTTATACCAACTATTTTTCTATGTCTCATCATCAACATAGCCCATCAGAAGTTTGAATACAGATATCCCACCTCCCAAAAAGTCTTCTGTAGGTTAGACCTTCCCAGTTCCTTTAATAGTTGATCAAGTACATGGAGACATGCCACAGGACAGAAACTCCCTTTAGCATGTGTCCCGTGAGTCCCCTTGAAAGCCCAGCAGGAGCTCTCCTGTGAACAAGTAGAGAAGTGGGGCCATGAGCCGCCTCCTCCTACTGACTACACTGTAGTTCATTCTTTCTGCCATTGCCAGCCTTTACATATAAATGATTTGTTCGTCTTCCTTGAGCACTTCTTCCTGGGACATAGTGGAGGACCTCCCTTTCAGTTCTGCTAAACTTCATCTCATTAGGATCTGCTCATCATCCCGGTGTGTTGACAATGTCTTGGACTAGGTTCATTCATATATATCAGCTATTCCTCTCAGCTTCAGAGGATCAGAGGAGTTGATATCATCCATGTCCTCATCCTAGCAAATTAATAAATCAAAAAAGACTGGTCTGAGAAGTCAGTATATCAGTCAAAGCTCTTTGGGTAGAGCTCACTGGATTACATGATATTACTATTCTATGTAATGCAGGTTGTTCATAAAAGAGGATCATAAGAAAGACTTTTTCAAATGCCTGTCTAAATAACTCTACCATTTCTCTGTCATCTGTTGGCCAAATTTAAAAGGAAGTGAAGATAGGCAGGCATGATTTACTCATAGCAAAGCCTTACTAGTTTCCAGTGATTGAATCCTTTCCCCATTGCTCAAAACCTTTTTAATTACTGGTTTTAAAATCTTGCTAGCAATGTCAATATCAAATGACCATGATAATGAACTCAAATGCATTACTCTGTGACTAAATGAGATAATGCATCTAGCCCTATGCCTTGCATATTGGAAGCTCTTGATCTGAAGTAGATAGGGTTCTGAAAGGCAGCTTAACATATAGGAAAAGTGTAGTTTTTGGGGTTTTTTTTTTTTGTATCACAGAGACCTGGATTCAAAGCCCAGCTCTACCACTTATGTACTAGGAAACTTGAGGAAGTTGTTTAACTCTTTTGAGCCTTTGTTTCCTCATTTATAAAATATTAAGAGATTTTATGAAGATTAGGAATTACATATGAAATGACTGTAGGGTGATGCCTATTGTATAATAATAGTAAGAGCAGAATTCTACCCAAAAGATTGCCAAAGGATTTTGGATACTGGATGAATTATTTCATCAGTGGGCTTTAGGAACTATAGATCCTAACTGTTTGCATGTTCATTTGGAGCAGCTAAGTGCACATCAAGAGCTTATTTTCCATCTTGTCAGTGTTAGTTCTAGCCCTTAGGTCTTTAGAATCAGGCTACTTAACCAAGAGGACAGAAGTAATGAAAATGAGGAAATGAACAAGATAATCATAATACAGCATATGTCGCAGGACAGGAAGGGCCCTTTTAAGAAATCTGTATATCTCCATTTCTTTATCTCTGGAAGAAGGAGATTTGCCTTGTATTCTGAAAAAAGAAATGAATAGTATCAAATCAACACATTGTAAACCTTAAACTTATACAATGTTATATACCTCAATTTTAAAAAAGAAATGAATAATTTATTTTACTGGTATAAATCTTGCAAGGATGATCATTTAAAGATAATTTTCCTAATTTGCAGAATCCATGCAGATTAATTATTGATAACGAGGTCAGTGAAGTCAAAGCCAGCAGGTTAATCATCACACTGGTGGGGAGCTGAATCAGTTCCAGTGACAAACATTCTGAAAACTCACCACGGAGCTTCCCCCAATAAAAAGGCTCCATCATAAGATCACAGGTTACAGTCCATGGGAAGTTACTGTTAAAGACTGACGATGGGTGAAAAGCTCTTTGTCCTTTCTGATAAACCGCACAGAAAGTGTCATAACTATATTGTCACGTGTAAAAATTACTTTAAGCATGGCCTTTACTCCACATGCATAGCTTTATCTTTTTTATGTTTTTGTGGTAACTCACACGTAAATATATAAACATATCTTGTTTTCAAAGAAAAAAGTAATATTAACTCATTACAGGCATTCACAAAAGCACTTGTGCCAACAATCTCTCTCCCTTAATGATTTCCAGCACAACTTGTTAACTTGCAATTTCCTGTGAATTTTAACCAAAACTGGATTAAAATATTTGGAGGGGTTTAATAATTTTAATTCACCCCTTGTTTATTGTGCAGCGTCACTTCTGCCTCCTGAAAGGCAATCACCAACATCACTAAGGGCCTCTTAAATGCCAAGTTTTATGGGCTCTTTTCAGTCTTCCTGTGGCATTTCGCATTCTAGAAACTTCCCTTTTTGGCTTCTGTGACCCATCTCTTACTGTGTTCCTCCTTGCTGTATTCACTTTCTTACTTGTCTTCTTTCTGAAAGTGTGTAGACAGTGTATTCTCTGTGATTGGACCTTTGGCTTTGCTTTAGGTGAACTTTTCCAGTTTCAACTCTATTTGTATGCTGTTGACTCCCTCACCTCATAGACCTCTCTTGTGAACTGCAAAACTTGTGCCAACTTTTACTGGCCATCCCCAGTGGTAATCTCACCCTTAACATTCCTAAAACTGAACTCATCACCCTACCCACCCACATGTGCTTCGCTCATGTCCTCTGTGTGGGTTAATGGTTACGGCACCCACATGAATGCCTCACCCAAACCTGCACATCATCCTAGAGGCTTCCATTGTGAACATTCTGCCTCATTCTCCCTTGTTAATTCATCTGAAGTCTGTCCTCTTTCATACATTGCTGTTGTCCCTATTTTAACCTTTCATCATTTCTGTCCTGGATTTTTCATTCGACTGTTTAGTAATTTAATTAAAAACAGATGTAGGCTCTTCCCTTAAATGTGCTAAGTGACATGAAAGAAGACAACTGGGGAAGAGCATTCCTCTACAGGGAAGGCCTCTCTGAGGCCTGAAGCAGGAACGGGAGCCAGTCAGATGAAGAGAGAACTGCATGAGTGAAAGTCTGAGGCAGGAAGAGCTCAGAACATTCTGAAAGCCAAGTGAAGACAGTTACTAGAGAGAGTGACATCGGATGAAGATGGAAAGGTGGTCGGGGGCCAGCCAGGGCAGTTCTGGTAGGGTGTGGTAAGAGGTTTACAAGGGGAAGCCAGGTTTTATGTAAAGGAAGATAAGATTTATTTACATTTTAAGAAGATGACTGAATACCACCAGCCCACGGATGGGCTGAGATCCAGTGTCTGGACATTTAGTGCTCCCAGGCACTGCCTCCAGACCAGATTAAATTAGGTCACCCTTCTATTCTGCATGCTGTCATCACCTCACCTTCAAGACAGAGTTTAAAAGCTGTACTCAGTGAACTAGCATTTCAGCATGCAGTCTTTGCTTACTTCTTTAGAACTGCCAGTCCCTATTGAACATCCAGTGCTCCGCCCACATCAAACCATGTAGGAGCGTCCAAAAGGCCTCAGCTTATGCTGTCCCCTTCCTGTGGGCCTGTTTCCTTCCTCCTCATCCTTTAGGATCCACTCAGGAGCCAGATCCATGGAGAAGCCTTTCTCAGCTAGCCCCCGAGCTGCGCTCACATCGGCCCGCCTCTGTCCCGGGACTTCTCACCCTGGATTGCCAACCTAGTTCTGGCGCCCTCTCCCTCAGCACACGAAGGAGAAAGGGATGCTGTTCAGTGCATCTCGGAGATGCCACGTCTATGTTCTTACTGACCATTGACAACTGCCCATTCTCATTCTCTTTCTGTTCAAGCACTTCTCATTCATTAACACAGAACTTCTGAATGTGACAACTAAAACAGTTCAAGGCTCATCATTCTTTGATGTTTGTATAGTACTTTGCATTTATAACCAGCACTTTTAGTTTGTGGACTCCCTTCAAATATTTATCTCCACAGCATTCCTGTGGGGATATGGTACAACACAGAGATAGCAAAGAAAGGTTTCCTGTTCGGGATGATGGCTTCACTTTGTGGCCTGGAATACTGGGGCCAAGGCCCCTTGCACTACTGTCTTTACATCTGGTATATTTGTACTTGTGTAGCCATGTTGATCTTCTCTTTGTCCCAAGAGTTATTAAGAGAAAAAAATTTTTTCTTTAATTTCTAAATGGCTTGGTTTTATCTGTATGTGTATCCTTTTAAAGTTAATTTTCTGGGTCTGTAGCTTAAAAAAATTTTTCCTGGTTGGTTTTTTGGTTTTCATGGGGCTCTCTTTGTTTTGTGGGTTTCTGTTAGGTTTGTTTTTTTGTCATAAAACAACAGAAATTTATTCTCTTACAGTTCTGGGGCCTGGCAGCCTGAAATCAGTGTGCCCGCAAGCTCATGCTCCCTCTGCAGGCTTCAGGGGAGTCCTCCCTTGCCTCTTCCCAGCTGGTGGTGTTGGCCCACCCTCTGTGGCATCCTGGCATGTAGTTGAGTCCTTCCAGCCCTCCGTCTTCGTAGGGTGTTTTCCCTGCATCTCTCTTCATGTGGCCAACTCCTTATAAGGACACCTGCCTCATTGAGTCTTAATTTAGACATCTACTGATGTTCCTTTGGGACCTATTACTAAATATTGCTAATTTTCGTAACTGTTCCATGGATATTTGAAAAGAATGTGAGTGATCTCTTTTGGTACTACGAGTATAAAGTTTGAGGTCTATACATTAAGTTACCTATTCAGTTAAAACCCTTTATGTCCCTAGATTATTTTTGTCTATTTTCTCTGTCAAAGATTGAGAGATAAAAATTTAATTTTCCAGCTACAACTGTGGTTTTGGTAATTCTCCTTAAATTACTAGAAGGTATCACTTCATATATCTTGATGCTGTTCTTCAAGACAAGAGTTCATTAAAGTTAAATCATTGTGTATGGTGTCATTTATCAGTATAAAATAACCTTTTAATTTAACTCAATACTTACCTTATTATCTCTTTTGTCATGATCATATCACTTAACACCTTTTTAAAAATATATTATTCCTAATACATATCTAATATATATTTCTCACTTATTTTTAACTTCATTTTGAGTGTCATAAAAATTTTAGAGATGCATTTTTTATTTTTTTAACCAATATTTAAGACTGTCTTCTAGTAAATTTAACCTCACATCTCATGCTTTTGTAAAATTTCTCTTAATTTTTCCTTTTTATGCTTTTCTGTTATTTTCCATTTTTCCATTTCTTTAGTTTCATTGAAAAAAATTCTTTACTTTTTATTCTAATTATTAGAGTTTATACAATATAATCCCCTTTATAAGTTTTCAAAAAAATGTATCTGAGCTTGTTTTCAACAATATCAAGAATGCCTGTTCCTATTTTGAAATGAGACAGTGTTTTAAAACAGGTTTTGGTGATGCTGTGATAATATTTTTATTCTGGTTTATGGGAAATGGAACTCAGGAGTTAATAGAAGGACTTAAATAGCAGAAGAATATATGTACTTAGAATGCATATGTGTCCTTTACCTTATACTTTTTAACATTCTCCTTTCCTTCTTTTCTGGTCCTCATTTAAAGTTCTCTATTTCATGCTGTGTTTTTTTTCTTCATAAGCCAATTCATTTGAAGAGTGATTGCTACCTTCCAAGTGGGCTTTCTTCATCAGGGACTGAAAGGAGAAATGGTGTAATAGTCTTGTATTTCTCTTGCATTTAATAGTATGCAAAATGTCTTTGCACACATTTCTCCAGTCGGACTACATAAAAGTACTAGATGTTATTATTTCCATTTTCCAGACATTGGAACTAACTTTCAGAAAAATTAAGTAGTTGTCTGAGATCCCAAGACACCAGGACCCACAATGAAAGCAGACATAGACAATCAAGATGAAGCAAAGCTGAAACTCAAATCCGAATCATACTGACTGAATCCCAAGGGTCCTTTAGTTACAGCCTAGATGGGCTCATTGTACAGCTCATGCCTGGAGCGTTTGGAGCTATAACTAGAACATACCCCCATGGACCAGCCAAGAGCCTGGCACGAGGGACAGAGTTAACGTTTACTGATTATGTTATGTTAGAATAATACCTTCAAAGCTAGATGGCGCTGTTTCTCTGGATGTCCAGCAGGTGGCACTACATACCCAAGGGAAGGTCTATCTCTTTTAGTGAAGCTGTTAAATTCTGTACAGGAATACATATATAATGATAACATGTTTACAAATAAAAAACTTAGTCATAATTCTTTTTTAACAACAACAAAAAAAACAGGTAAAAAATCTGAGAGTGATCTATATTAATCAACACAAAGCAAACCTAATTCAAGTTAATTGAAAAATCCACTTAGTAATTGTTTCATTGGCTTTGGGGAGCCTCCACTACTACTCTTAGCATCACTGGCTTTGTCCCCCACTGTCTTTGCATCCAAAGAAGCCCTTTGTGGAGTACATGGTACCGTGTCTATCCCTTGGTGGGAGCTGGGTGGGTAGTTGTGTCCCTCGGAGTGACAGTCTACTTCTCTTCATGAGGACAGATACCACATGTCACTCACCTTCATGTCCAACACCTTGTCCCATAACGTGGATGGATTAAAAGTCTAAGCCCTTAAATCTGGTCCAATATAATCTTGAGAGGTGGCAGGTCATGTAACCCTTGAAGAGGAGGGTTCTTGTGCTAACTAGTGAGGATGGGTGAGGGAGCCTATCTAGGGACTAGAAAACACTTCCTCCCCTTTAGGTGGAGCACACAAGCTGTGTGATTGTGTGTATTTACTGACCCACTGACTGCTTAAGATGGACTCTCAAACACACTTGTGTTCAGATCACTATTATCTACTCTTTTAATCTTGATTTTCTGTGATACTTGGATGGCAAAGAGGACTATATAAGGGAGAAATTTTACTAAATAACATTTAATCCCCAAAGCATTTAATACAAGGTTTTAAAATGCATTTGATGATACCTGAAGATTACTATAGAATAAGCTAAAGTATTACTCAGCTGCTGGGTGTTGAGAACTGTGGTCAACAGAAGTATAAAGGGGAAATGTTTCCTTCCCTTGAAGCTTTTTGTCGGCTAGTTTTAGGAATTGTAGCCTATTGCAGCTGCAGTCATTAGAGTCCAGCGTAATTATAACAGCACTTGGTAAGTGATATGATTGAGCGATCCGATAAGGGGGACAAGCCACCATTATTAGACATTCAAGTGTCAGCCACCATATTTGGTAGTTTATAGTTATTTTTACTTAAGCACCAAAAATATCCTATGGGATAGTTAATTATCCCCGTTTTATAGAAGAGCAACTTGCACAGGTCACATAGTCAGTGATCTATGCCCTGATCTGTGGCCTGCTGAGCCTCTAGGTGATCTCCCCACCTCTCCAGGACAGCTCAGGATGGGCTGGTACCATTAGCAAGTCTCACAGCAAGGGTTCAGCTTGAGTTTGAGAGTTCCACACAAGATTTGATAGGTAGATGGGAGGCAGGTGTGTCTGTTAGGATCCTGGAAGGAAAGAAATGGAGAACAAAAAGTGGTTATTAGTTTAATGAAGGGACTATTTACATTAAACTAAACTGAGTGATAAAAGAAAGTTCACTGAAGGGGTTGGCAGAGTTACAGAAACAAGGGGCGGTGGGACCCTTGGGATAGTCCCCTCCAGGCCTGAGGGGACCGGAGAGGGAACGGAGTGGTGTGGCCCGGCAGCTGTGGCCAAGGTTGGAGGGTCCCCTGCCGCGTTGCACCCAGGCGGGGCGGGAACAAACCCCGCCTCTCCCTCCTCAACCCCCAAATCCCGTTCCAGCCTCCCTTTGGCTGAGTGTGTGGGAAGCCAAAGGGCAAGGGGCCCCGTGTGGTTTGGTCTGTACAGTCGGCCTCAAAGCCCAGGACAGTGAGGAACTGAGAACTGATGTGGGAGCAAACCAAGAGGGGCCTGCCCTGTGGTGGTGGGGAGAGTGTACAGCGCAGGGTGCGGCTGCGCATGGCCTCCACAGGGCCGGGGCACAGGGCCTCGCTGGCCTGGAGGTCTGGCCTCCGAGGAGGTGGGAGAGGAAGGTGAGTGGGCCTGGCGGAAGTCCCAGATGTCAAGTGAAGGCGCCTGCTCTCAGTTTGATAACTCAATAGTAAGCCAGTGTTACCTCTTCTGTAAGCCCGGAAGGTGGGGTGAGGGGGGATCCCTGGGAGAGGGAGGAAGGCGAGGGATGTGGCTGTGTGCCCGGCCCCCGCGCGGGAGTGAGGGCGCAGGTTACCGTGTGTTCACGGGGCTCCCTTCCTGTATTGCAGTGACCTACGGGATGATGAGCTCCAGCGTTTACTACTATACGCGGACAATGTCCCAGCTCTTCCTAGACACCCCGGTGTCCAAAACGGAGAAAACTAACTTTAAAACTCTTTCTTCAATGGACGACTTCTGGAAGGTATTTGCAAATGACTTTGAAAGTACATGTAGCGCTGAAAATTGTGCATCCATCTGGCTTCATAAATTCAAGTCAGCAGTATCTGCAGGGCTGACTATGTGAGATGTAAGTTAGGGTGAGCTGTCAGAAATTACAGGCCCGCTGAAAACCTGGGATGTGCCTTCCCCATGCTGATTATTTCATACCTTATTGAATCCCCATAAACACCGCTCAAGGTAAGTGTTAACATTATGCCCCAGGCTGTAACTGAAGGAACTGAGATTCAGAGTGTTTACACATAGCTAGGGAGTAAGAAAAATGAACTTCTTTCTAGTCTGACAGATACTTCCTCAGCCTAGTTTATAAGTCATTCAGTCATCCGTGAGTCAATAAATATCTGTTGAGCATCTCCTAGAGTGGAAGGCCCACAAGGGCAGAATTTGGTTGTCTTTTTTGTTGGTGGATCACCACCATCCTCCTTGTTGGTGACCCCTTAGCATAGCACCTGATACAAGGAGGCACATTCTTTCAAAGATCTTTAATGTGAAATTCAACCCAATCCCTTCCCAGACTGCCACAAAATAGTAACAGAGCAGAAGCAATGAGTGATACCACAGGAAAAATATTAAACTGATCTGGAAGATACGGTGCTCAGAATCCAAGAAAATTGGGAAGGAAGTTGGAAATGAAACGATTGTTTCTTCCTGGAATGATACTTTCTCCAATTCTTACTAAACCTTGAGATCAGAGCTGTTGATTTTATAGATGGAGGAAACTCGATCCCAGGAATCTCTTATACTAATGTCAAAAAATACTTGGCATGTAAACCACACTTGTATAATGTGAATCTTTCCCCACCTCATCAAGGCAAATCAGTCCATCTCTGTTGACCACCTTATAAGGATAAGACAGAGAAACAGCTTGATCTGTCTTCCTATAGACAAACTAATAAGAGACTTCTCACATATACGCAATTCCATGATGCTGAATGCCAAGCTTTAAAAGCCAGGGGTGGACAGAATGTGGAGGATTGCGAGCACGGGGAAGGCAGTATAGCACAGAGACGAGTAGTGACTCTATAACATCTTACTATGCTGATGGACAGTGACTGTAATGGTGTATGTGGTGGGGACTTAATGGGGGGAGTCTGGTAACCACAGTGTTGCTCATGTGACTGTATATTAATGATTCCAAAATAAAAAAGGGAAAAGAAGCCAGGGCTGTGGTGATTTAGAGAGTTCACCATAGGACAAAATAGTCCAGACAATTAAAAGGTCCACCAGATGGAGATGGCAGACTGGTAATCAAAACTATCACCTTTTCTTCTCCAAACAAGTTTAGAAAAATGATTATATGGGATGCTGTTTTAATAATGGGAAAAGAAATTGATCTTGTTTGTGGATTTAAGCAAACCATACCCCCTGTCTTTAGTCCTAGGGCAAAAATCAGAGTTGCCATTTATTAAATGCCCACTCTGTGCCAGGTGTAGCAACCAAGCAGAAGACTGGCATTACAGTCTCAGGAACCCTGGCTCAAAGGGCGATCCTGCTCGAGTCCTCACAGCTAGCAAGCAATGGAACAAGATCCAACCCAAATCTCTCTACAGCACAACCCACCTGTGCATGTTACTCTGTGTTTAGAGTCACCAAATTATTGCTCTTTAGGAACAAAACAGCTGCTAAACTCAGAGCTTTGCAAAAACATTTCCTTTTCTTTCAGTTCACAGAAGGTGCCTTATTGGATGGGCTGTACTGGAAGTCACAGCCTGGCAACAGAACCAGGGCTGACAACCGAAGCTTCATCTACTACGAGAACCTCCTTTTAGGGGTACCACGGATACGGCAGCTCCGAGTCAGGAACGGATCCTGTTCTATCCCCCAGGACTTGAGAGATGAGATTAAGGAGTGCTATGATGTCTACTCTGTGAGTAGTGAAGACAGGGCTCCATTCGGTCCAAGAAACGGAACAGCGTAAGTGTGTGTGGCTCCTGGCCACAAGCCCTGGCCTCTCATGAGCATTCATTCACTCATTCATTCATTCTCTAATCCCTTCACCAAGGAGAAGATACCTTATGTGAGTCTACAATGCTTGCATTTAGGGCCGTTACCAAACCGACCTTGGCTTCTCAAGTTTTCTCTACTTTTTAACCCCTTTCAGCTTCTTTATACATATTTTCCAAAAGGCTAAATTGTTGACCCTATGACCCACAGGAAAGAAGCTATCTGGGTCTTAAGGGGTTTCTTCTGCCATGACTGGATCTTATTTTTATAGATCCAGTAACGTCATTCACTAGGTTGTTAACTAGGAGATTTTCTGGTACAGAAATTCTTTTTTTATTAGCGCTTACAAATAAATTTTTCTACAGAGTATACTAATTTAAAATGTAGAGTTAGCTTACGGGGCAGTTTCTCTGGTTTAAAGCCTGTCCTCAGTGCTCAGTGCTGGCTTGTAGTTGTGAGTTTGTGTTTGTAGCATGTATGTTTGCAGGGGTTTGGGTGCTCTTTGGTGACCATACTTAAAGCATCTGTGTGTTCAGGGAGGACAGTCATTGCTTTTAGAGTGACTGTAGTTCTAAAGACATGAAAGGGGCTCTCAGGCTCTCCTAAGGTGGACCTTTTGGAGAAACTGCCCCTGGGTGGGTCACTGTGTTTAGAACTGGCTGCTTATCTTTACTCAGCTAATTCTATCACTTCATCTAGATCCCTTTCTTGGGAACTGAGACACTCAGAATCCAGATTTGTACAATAGAGGCAAACACCTTTACTGTGATCAGATTCTTTATCTATCTAACACCCTATTTATAACCAGAGTCCTAAGAAACAAACTTAGTAAATATCAGAAGATTGAGAATAAAGGGACCAAATAATCTCAGATTTTTTCATTTTTTTCCAGATTATGACAGTGATTTTTCTCTCTACTGCTCCTTTTTCTAATTCCTGCAAAGCAGAAGCATCCCCTTAAACTGTGGCACCTTATCCTATATTTTACTTTATCTCCTGTCATTAAATGTATGCAGCCACTATTCCATGCCAGGCACTATTTAAGAAGTGGTTTCATGCATTAATTATGTCATCTACTTTTCAGAAAACAGCTCTGCAATAGATGCTATCTCTATTCAGTAGCTGAGAAAATGGAGGTTCACTTATCCAAAGCATCATAGCTAGGAAATGGAACCAACTGGGAATTAACTGGCCCAACTCCAAAACCCATTTCCTTCTACTACACCACAGTGCTTCTTCCATGTTAACTATGTTGTTAGGATGACTTCTCGCCACCCTCAGCTCACTGTCAGTATTCAAGCTCCATGCGAGCAGAACTCTCTCCTGTGCACTGCTGTATTCTCAAAGCCTTCAGCAATGCCCAGTATATCAAGGTGCTCAATAGACCCCTGTGGGTGCATGGATGAGTAAGTGATCTCCACCGCAGGGTGGACAGCTGTAGGCGATTTTTCCTGCATGTATCTAAGCCATCCCTGGATCCTTCCATATTCCCAAGTTAGTTCCATTTCTCCTTCCTTTCCACCCCAAACTTCTTCAGAGTACAGTCTTCATTTGCCACCTCCGTCTCCTTACCATTGATTCATGCTTTAAAGCTTAGGCCTTTGCTTTTTATGCCTCTCTTGGAAGCTCCTAGTGGGTCAGTTCACTTTGTTCCTCCACTGAGCCACCCTCAGCCTTCACCCTGTTCAGCCTCTGCAGAATGCAGCTGGCTGGTTCCTCTGATCTGACCTCTGTGAGTGACACTGAACTCTGGTTCTCTGACTTCTGACTTCTGCAACCCCCTCCTCTCATGTCTTCTCCCATGTTCCCAGGCTCTATCTCTATTTGATGATTATCGTTTCTTCAGCAAATATACTGAGTGTTAACGTGTGCCAGGCATGTTCTCAGCAAGGTCTCATTTGCCAGCAATGGCCTGGTCCTGGCTGGGGTAACAAAGCAGCCGTAAAGAAAACAGAAACAAGCCCCGTCTTCACAGAACTTGTGTTCTAACAACAGAAGACAAACCTCTCTTCTACCTACATGTCGTACTGACTCCTGCCATTCAGTGTGCCCCAAACTGAACTCCAATATATTTATTGGATCTTTTCTCCCTCCTGTTAATGGCTCCACCATCTTTTCAATACCCAAAGAGACTCCAGAGTCATTTTTCAGGTGTCCCTTCTCCAGAGGGACTTCCGACTTCCAAGTTGGCTGCCCAGCTTTGTTGGCAGACATTCAGTGGCACTGTCTCAGTCCTTCCTGTTCTCTCCCACTATTGCTGCTCCAGTTTAGGCCTCATCACCTTCAGTTGTTGCAGGAGCTGCCATCTGAGTAGTGTCAGGGGCCCCAGAACAACCTCAGGCACAGTGGGTCTCTGGAAGGAGTCACTGAATTCAGCATATAGTCTTGTTACCAGCTCAGGTTTATTGCAGTGAAAGGTTAGAAATGAAAGCAGCGGAAACCAAAGTGCCAGTAAATGCATAGCACATTGCTCCAGCAGACACCTGGAGCAAAGCATGGAGGCAACAATGCAGGCTTCCAAACATCCTCTGTCAGTCCAGTCACACAGCACACGCTCAGTTCCTCAGCAATGAGTTGTAACAACGCGTGAAATGTTGTCTGTCAGAGCGGCTCATTAGAGGCACAGTGCCCCTGGTGTTTCCTGGGTGCTGGTCATGCAGGCTTCTCCTGCTGGGCCTGTACCAAACTCCAGACTCCCAGAAGAGAAGTTGTTGTTTGGCTTAAGCCACCTTGTTTGCACAGACAGTGAGCCCAATCAGAAAAAGCTTTATTTCAGTGGAGGGAACTCTTTACCAATGAAGTCCCAGGAGCCAGATAAGATCCAACCTAACAAGCAGGCCTTTAAAGGAAAGGCCATCTCAGACCCACTGTGTTAACTCTTTTTCCCTTCAGTGGCTCCTTCACGCTATGGGAGCCAAACCGAGCTACATGCAGGGGGGCCTTTTGGCTTCTCTGGCTCAGCCTGGCTTAGGCTGGAAAACGCCCTTCCCATCCACTGTGCAAGGTCCAAATCCTGTTCACCTCTCATGGCCCAGGTCCAAGACAGCTTCTTCAAAAAGACTTCTTTGACCCACCTCCCCATCGTTAGACCTCTGAATAAGCATAACTTCCCTCTAATGTGCCCAAGCAATTTCTCTAAACTTCTCTTTTGGTTCTTATCATCATCTACCTTGTATTTTAATTGTTTAATTAGAGCTTTTCTATCCCTACTTATTGTAAATTTAGGAGAGAAAAGGTCTCAGCTCATCTTTATATCCCCATTAATGCCAAAGAAACGTCTGGTTCCTAAGAGAGCCTTTGCAAATATTTGTGGAATAAATGCCCAAGTGCTGTGTCCCCAGAGTTCCAACTAGTTGCCAGCAGTAGCATTTGATGAACTTGTACCTCTTTAGGGACATAGAGTCTCCTAGTGGCTGAGTAGTTATCCAGGGCAGGCGACCATATAGACCAAGGGCTGATAGCACACATGGGCTCTAGAGACAGACAGTCCTGGGCTAGGTTCCTGATGCTACCCTTGAAAGCGTTGAAGCTGAGTTGACCCCTTTAAGTCAGGTCCCTCATTCCTAAAATGGCAGTAAGAACTGTATGAGAACTAAGTGAGGAAACACTAATGAAGTGCCACATGCAGCACATGACCCAGAACCATCTTGTGGTTGCCAAAAGCACCCCACTGATTTTACCTGTTTGTTTTGTTTTCATCTTTAATTTTTGAATTAGTTGGATCTACACAAGTGAGAAAGACTTGAATGGGAGTAGCCACTGGGGAGTGATTGCCACTTACAGCGGAGCTGGCTATTACTTGGATTTGTCCAGAACAAGAGAGGAAACAGCTGCTAAGATTGCTCATCTCAACAGAAATGGCTGGCTGGACCGAGGAACCAGGGCAACTTTCATTGACTTTTCAGTGTACAATGCCAACATTAACCTGTTCTGTGTGATCAGGTTTGTACGAGGGCACCCACGCCTCTCAATTCTGTGTATTTGCATGGTTATTCTAGTCTGGAAATAGGCCAATAAACTGTTGCCCACCAATGTCTAAATGAGAGTGCCAAAGTTCAGAACTGATAGCAAGGTAGGGATGAAAAAAATGAAAGGCTTTCTGGGATAAGGATATTTGGGGGAAGGGAATTAGGATCCCAGAATATTATGAGTTGGGAAGAACCTCAAGTCTGGTCCAAGTTCATTCCAAAGCTAAAACCTTCCCAGAAAAATCACTGTGTTTTGCCAACATCTATCCTTACCCATTATGAGGGTGATTGGTGCTACCTGCTCTGTTACCAAGGCCTCAGCTTTCAAATATTTACTTACTACTCTGAGTTTCCCACTCCCAGAGAATGCCCATGCTGTTAGAACACAAATTCAGTGGCCAGGGGCTGAGCCTATATGCAGTAGGATACCCAGGTACTTGGTCAGGCTCAAGATTTCCTAAAGTACATAATGATCCTTTTACAAATCCTATGACATTGCTGTGAGAATCACTCTGGTGAAAGTGAGGAAACTGACAAGAGATCCCACTGGCCTCTTGTTCATTCATTCATTTATTCAGCAAACATTTACTGGACACTTAATATGTGTCAGGCACCATTCTAGACTCTTGGGACACATCAGTGAACAAAATAAAGATCCTTGCCCTTGTAGAGCTTACAGTCAACCAGGAGTAGACAGACAGTAGACAATAAACAAAAGAAAAAATTAATTCAGTAGTATGTTAGAAGGTAATATGTGCTATGAAAAAAAGAAAAAGTTGAACAAGGCAAAGAGGATCCACAGTTTACCCACTTTAATCCTCTTGGTAAACACTGACAACACCCAACATTGCCAGCATGAATTACTTGCCCATATATTTACCTATCAAATAAGGATAAATTCTAACATCCTTATTCTGGGGGCTTAATTCAACTCTGCTTTACATGGCCAGTTGGATTTTCCCAGTCCTTGTATGTGACAACTTTTGCAGAAAATAATGTCACATTAAATCAAGTAATGGTTATTGCTAGAAATGAATGAAAATCCATTGCAATTATTATTAAAGTTTTTCTAATGATTCCAGTGAGGATAGGAAAAGGCTACAAGAAGGCAGGCAACTGTGATTAACATTAAAGGAAATATCTATTTATAGAAGGTCTTGAGTATGTCTTCCACTTCCCACTCTTTAAGAGTGAATATTGTTAAGGCCATTACTTCATTTCCCTACACTTGTCTAAGTTGTGGAGGGGCTGACAGAGGCAAGGCCAGGAAGGGCTGTAGAGAAGATGACTTGGTGCACAGAGGCCATTTCCTGCCCTCGTGAGCTCACACTGATGCTGTCACGAGGCTCATCTTTGCAGTATTGCTCTCCTGAGTTTCTGATTCAGCACATCAAAGAGGAAAAAAAAACAGGAAGTTGACTGCAAAGAGGAAGGAAAAACTTCCATGCTTCTTGACCAAACCAAATTTGTCATAGTCTCTGCCTGTATTTGATTATTGCTTGTGCAAAGCCCTAAATACTCAGGTTCAAGGTGTGGATACCCAGCCTGTAATGGAAGAGAGAGTTATGCCAAATACTGAAAGTCTTTTAAAAATCTTAAAATTAAGGAGCTGGAGATGCTATTTCTAGTTGTATAGAGAAACTGTACCATTAGGTGAATCATGTAACTTCTCAGTATGAAACGTACAGAATGGGAATTTGGCAAGAAGCATCCTTGTTTCAGTTATGGTGAAGCACTAAGGATCAATGCCATCAGTATGAATATAAGACCTATGTTACTGTTTCAGACAATTAGACATTTACTGATGAGCACTTAATAGCTGGGAAGGGTAGCAAAAAGTACCCGCTAAAGGCATATGATTCGGTGCTACTTAGATATTACCAAATGAATGAATGAAAAACCGAGTCCTTATCTTTATATATATACAAAATATAAAAACTTCTCAACAGGTCATATATGTTTTCAATACATGACTTACATTTCTTAGGTTCTTCATTGTCTAGTTCTATGACCTGCATTCAATAGAAGTCCTAGGAAGGCTTGTGTGTTGATTAACTTCTGCATTTAAAAAAAAGCTTACAGCATTTTGAGCAGTGTAAATGCTAGAAAAGTAAAGGGTAGACGGAGGAGGAATAATCTCTTCGGTCTAGGAGGCCTTGGGAAGTCTTGTTCCTTTTATGGCACAAAATTCTACAAGTATGGAGTTACCAGCTGTAATAAAAACATTTTGCCACCAGTTTGGGGTGACTTTTGGTCATAGTTTTATTACCTTATAGTGCAGGGAGAGAATAGATAGACATCCTTTCTTGGCTGAATCCATGTGTTTTTGTTCCTGTTTAATTGTTCTTATTGCAATGCAGGTTATTGGTTGAATTCCCAGCAACAGGCGGTGTGATTCCATCTTGGCAATTTCAGCCTGTAAAGCTGATCCAATATGTCACAACTTTTGACTTCTTCCTGGCAGCCTGTGAGATTATCTTTTGTTTCTTTATCCTTTACTATGTGGTGGAAGAGATATTGGAAATTCGTATTCACAAGCTACACTATTTCAGGAGTTTCTGGAATTGTCTGGATGTTGTGATCATTGTGGTAGGTTTGAGAACACCACCAAGTTCCTTACTCTGTTATAAAAACATGTTAGAGTCTTTGATCTCCTCGATATTGTGGATCTTGATATTCCTGAAGGAAAATCTAAAGTTTCTTCTCTATTATGTCAGCTTTAGTTACTAGTTGCTTTCTCGTTCTGCATGAGTAACCCTTCTGCATGTGAAAGTGGAGAGGCATTTACAGTAAGTCTCAATTGGCCATACCAGTAACAAGAATAACTTAGTACTTCATGTTTGGCTTTTGCATGTCATATGGGATGGGAAGGAAAAACAATGTTTTGTTTTGTTTATTCTGGTTTTTTGCTAATGATATTTTTTTTCAGCTGCTAGCAAAAATTAATTTATATTTGTTTGCACATGTGTAAAATTGTGACAAAAAGAAACATCCTGAAAATATTGTGGAAACAGAAAAAAACCTCCCAGTAGTTCAGAAATTTCCTGCAAACAATCCAGTGTACAAAATATAAGTGATGGCCATCAAGGTTTTCTGTATGACATGTAAGAAATCATAAGGCAGTTACAGTAGAGTCAAGACAGTGACACCTTGTAGATACACTGCCTGCCCTTGACTCTAACTTCTTACACTTGTTCAAAATGGTTTCCTAAGCACTTTCCTTCCAGAGGCCACAAAATAGAAATGTAATTTTGCAAGCTTTTCTCCCTTCAGCAATATCACATAAGCTTTGCTAAGCCCTGTTACACATTTAAGCACATAACGACAAACAATTTTTGCATGCTTAAAAGTCCATTCTTTCCATCATCCAATGACAGAGATGCCCCCAAATCTCAGTAAGTGATTCATTACCCTACGAGCATTCTCTTTTCTGTTATCCTACCTCTTGACTATTCTTCTTCCTTCTCAACCAAAAATTTATTTGAGCTTTGTGACACATTTACATCAAGTCATCCGATTATCACTAGAATTAGTTGGTGAAATATAGAAAATATGTTACTAAGTATGTTATCAATGTTTTTAAATATGGAAAATACATGTGAGTAAAAAAATACTTAAGACATAAAAAGAACCATATAGATAGGTGTTGCATGGCAAGAACAATCTTAACAGGAGCCATAATAATAATGGCTAACATTGTAGAAGTTAAGCTGTCTGTGCTGGGCACAGTTCTGAGTGCTTTTCGTTTACGGAAGTTCATTTAATCCTCACAGTATCCCTCTTAACAACTCGGCCATAGCCTCTCAAACCACGTACAGGTATACCTCAAAAAGAGCTTTTACCTAAAATAAAAATTCCCATAGAATACAGCATGGAGCCTCTCAGTTTTGGCGCAGGTGCAAGTGTATCCCTTCTTTACAGTGGCTGTGAATTTCAGTAGCCTGTGTGCCTTTATAAAGAACAAGGAAGGGCTACTGAAATGCACAGTCCCTATGGATAAGCTCATGATCCCCCAATTCTCAATGTGTTGATCAGTAAGAGTTACAAAAGAATTTCAGTATTTAAGGAGGCAGGAAGATGATACTGGAAGCAATTTCTCAGAATTTTCTGTGCTGCATGATGGCAGAGTACAGTACATATAAACTGAAAATTATTTTAGAAAACAATTATTATTTGGAACTCTGGATGCAAACCCTGCCATTTTGGTTCATATACACATATTTAAGTCATTGAGAAAAATGGTAAAAAGTTGAGTGTTGATATTATGCCACTTAACATATTTCTTTTTTTTAACCAAATACCTTCAGTATCAACAAAAAACTAGTAAATGGCATTCAACTTTTTTGGTTATGTACACCTACAGTAAAAACTTTGACAGTACACCCTAATATATTGTATTTATAAATTGTGTGTGTGTGGAGCACACACACACACTTCTATACCAGGTACATTTGTAAACACATATGTAACATAGAATTTGAGATATAAGAACAAAAATAAATACAAATGAAATTCTAAGATCCTCTTATCACCTACCTAGAAGTTTTAATATTTTATTCCCACACCCCAGTGAATGGCCTTTTACCCACTTTGGAGGAGACTGGAAAAAATAGCTGATGGTATCATGGAAATTGAGGATAGTTTTTTGGCTGAGCAGCCTCAGAATTTTGCAAGTGTTTCTTTGAAAACTTGCTTCACTATTCTATTGTTCTTATTTTTTTAGACTCTAGTACTACCAAGATACCAGTTCAGACAGTGTGCCTTTATAAAGAACAAGGAAATGCTGCTTCTCTTTTGAAACCTTCTCTGACCCAGCAGAAATAGGGGCATGCTTACTGCTCATCCCTCCAAGGAAGCCCTGTGCTCCATTGGACCTTCAACCCTATGAAAACAGTCAGGGCTTCTTAATATGACCTGGCCCACATCTGCCGGAGCACACCTGAACCTTGCAATGCTGTCCTAGATGTAAATATAATGGCTTGGAATCACTTTGAAATTACTTCCTCAGTTTTCCTTTTTTGTTTCTTTTACACTCTGAAATCTAGAGTTTAGTTGCTTTAATCAATCATTTTTTGTAAGCAATAGCCTTTACAAACTAGCAGAATTGCTGAAAAAAGAAAAGTATTGAGAAATCTAAATTAAGGTAATTTTGTTGATTGGTAGCCTGAAGATTATTAATTCATTTATTCAGTAAATGTTTTCCAAGCATGTTCTATGCGGTGGATGTCATTGGAGATGTAGGAGTGAACCACCCAAGCCCTTGCCTTATGAGTTTATGGTAAGGAAAGAAAGTTCTTTTGCAGTTTAGGGATGAGGATACCAAAGAAAACTCAGGAGTGACATAACAACTCAAATGCTCACAAAATCTGTCTCCTCATCTCTTTTCTCTCATTCCCTATTTTAAAGAAAATGTCTCAAGGAAATGTAGTGTATCAGTATGATATTGTTATTATATAAAGGACCATACATTCCATGTTTTTATAGATGTTTGTCCTGGGTGGGACAAAAACAATTACACTGGTGAGAGTTGGGTAGAGGCTCCTTGTTGGATCCAGTCATTCGACCCTTCCCTCTCATCCAAGGTCATGTAGGAAAACATTTCCAGTGTATTCCAGAAAGCTCAAAGAAAACATTCCTACCACCAGCACAAAAACTCAAGATTAGCTCTGAGAGTCCTTCCCAGAGAAGAAAAGAAGGTAAGAAGGTTGGCATTTAATCTGTGACTGGCAGCCAGGCAGGTCTTTGATAAATCACCTGGAGCCGTGAGCAGGACAGCATCTCAAAAATGGCCAATGAAGTGGTCTTTGAGGAGAGACCAACTGCAAGAAGAGCAGAGGATGGATGGCAGAGGTCACAGCACCTGCCACAGCCCCCCTGCCATGGATTCAGACCCCCCATGGAGGCAAGGTTGTTAAGGTTAACACTTAGCACTTCCCACACACACACTTTCATCCAGCGGTGGTGGATGCCAGTAGGGATCGGTGCTCCCCTTGGATCTGGTTGTATGGCCCAAAGCAGTTGTGAAAAGTTGTATGGTCATGAGTTAAGGAAGAGAAACAAGAGGGAATCCATTTGCTCACATATTCCCACTGCAAGCCCTCTTGAGCGTTCTCTATCCATCTTTCCACCATCTTTTAAGACCAAGGTCATTCTTCCTCTTATGAGCACTCCATTTAAAATGTCTTGTTTTACTCTTAGCCTTATGTTATGCCAACTTCTGAGTAGGTTTTTGTGTCAGTTATCTTTGTGTGTTTATCTGGTTTTGAACCACACTATAGGTTTCTTAAGTACAGAGTGTGTGCACTTTACTCCCATCTGTTCCTCCTGGTCCCTAGCACAGTGATGTGTACATAGGGAAAAAAAAAACACCACCACAAACAAAAACAAAGCAAGATGAGGCCGAGAAAGCAAAGGATAGAAAGTGATTTAAATGAGGGTGGCAGAAAAAACAGAAGGCATTCCTGTTTGAGTTTGATTCCGTATCTCTTATAGTACATACATGCACAGATGTGCTCACTGTATTTCTCTTCCTCACCAAAAAAGTGTAAGCAACAATCGTTTTACTTGCTTTATGGCTGTGCCCAGCACTTTCCATCTGTGTGAATGACTTTTGTGAATGCCATTGGGTAAGTAGAATGGTGAGCCCGAATTACTACATTGGTTAAGAAAAATAAACTAGTCACTTTAAGGTAAGTTCTGTATTTCTAAAACACTGTAATAATATGTAAATCTCTGTGTTCCAGCTGTCGGTGGTAGCTATAGGAATTAACATACATAGAACGTCAAATGTGGAGGTGCTACTACAGTTTCTAGAAGATCAAAATACTTTCCCCAACTTTGAGCATCTGGCATACTGGCAAATACAATTCAATGGTGTAGCTGCTGTCATAGTATTCTTTGTGTGGATTAAGGTAATGTGTAAGTTCCATGCTCTGGATCTTTAATTATACTTTTCCCTTCTTTCTATTTTCATGAGTCACACAAAATGTTGGAAGACTTGAATTTGCTTTTGTCATCAATTTCAAGTAGCCAGCCAAAGCTGTTCCATATTTTGCAAGTTCCTAGTGGGACTGGTGATCCTTCATCTCACTGTGAATGAAGCTCCCTGCTTACTGCACCTGTCCCTGTAGGTTTCATTTAGCAAATGCAAGAGGCCTTTCCAGTGTCAGCTGGTCCTGGGGCCCCAGGCTGCACTAGCACAGAGACAGGTCTGAGTTTCCCCTGACGTGGGGTGACCGGGGAAGGAAAGGGGACTAAGCAAAAGACAAAGAAGGGTGGGGCGGGGGTGGGGAGAGGCGGGGAGAGTTGCTGCCTTGAAATGTTTTCCAGAAGGATTGCCTCTTTTCCAGGTGGAGGCCATAGGGAAGCTTTACCTAGAATTGAGGTGAGGACAGACACCTTCCAAGAAGTTCCTTACCACTGACTTCCTTCCTTTCCCAAAGCATAATGTTCATTTCCATGTATGTGAAAGGTTTTGGCATTTCATATACAATGAGCCTCAATTCTGGAGACGGAGGAGATTTCGTAATTCTGAGACAGTTGCCAGGCTGTCGCCAGTCAAGTTCTATGACTGCGCTGTCTAATTAGTAGCTAACCACAAGTGGCTATTTAATTTTTAATTAATTATGATTCAATACAATTAAACATCCAGTTCCTCATTACTCTAGCCAGATTTTAAGTGCTCAATGTCTGTCTATACATAACTGGTGACTACTGCACATATTCCCATCATCACAGAAAGTTCTGTTGAATAGCACTGTTTTAGGTCCTCACCAACAGTTACTTGTTTTCCTGAATTGATATTCATGCCTGGAAAGGCTGAGATCTATCAGAGGGCACAGACTTCATCCTGGGTCTTGTGCTATTTATTCAGTTACATGCTTGTTTCAGGAAAAACCATCACTAACACACCAAACCTTTATCATAGTATAATAATAATCATCAGCATAATGAAGATCTCATAGGAATAGTATAGGAATTATATTAAGTAATGTGGTTCCAACAACCCTCAAAAAAACGATATTGTATCCAGAAACAGTATATAAGAGTTTTTTTTAGTACAATTCTAGAGATTTAATTTATGCCTCAGGCTGGTGGTTTTATTTAGTGCTTTGCTTGTAAATATCTTCCCCCCAAAACTTTATGAACCATTAGGTTCTTTAAGGCAGGAATGTGGCTGGGCTTGTAATGTACCCCCCGGTTCTTCCACCAAGGCTTCTAACTAGAGCCACACAGGCATCATACTCGCTGGGCTGGGAACTGCACAAACTGGGCAGCTGTCGTCAGAGCCTTGTCTTCAGAAACACTCAGTATGGCTTTGCTGTCAGAGCTGGGTTCAGACCCTCACCCTGAGCCCCAGCAGACGCCTGGGGATAGAACACCAATATTTCAGTCACTGTGCAGACGGGAGGTAGTGTACATAGGCCCTTCCCATGGCGGCTGGCACATAGTTGGTGCATAATAAATAACAGTTAATAATATGCAAGGAGTATTTCCTGGAGATTTTTTTTTTTTACCAGTTTTTATTTGTGGCTTTTTTTCCTGTCTTTTAATTTTTCTTAGGGGAAAAATATCTCTACTCATTTGAGTTATAATTAAACTGGCTTTTACAATATTGTAACCACCATGTAAAATGTCAGCAACATGAGGGCAGCTTTGTTCTGCTCACTGCTGTACTCCCAGTTCCCGAAGTAGCACCTGGCACATGGCAGGCTCTCAACAAATAACTTTTTGAGAAAATGGAAGTTGCTGGGTTTGAAAAAAAAAGCAAGTCATTTTTCTTCTCTCTCTCTTCTTTTTAAATTTTGGTAAAATACATATAGAAGTTACCACTTGAAATATTTTTAACTGTACGATTCAGTGGCGGTAAATACATTCACAGTGTTATACGGCCATTACCATTGTGCGTTTCAGAACTTTTTCATCATCCCAACTGAAAATATATAAACACTGATGCCCAATTGCCCGCTCACCCCTGCCCCTGGTAGCCTCTATTTTACTCAGTCTCTGTGAGTTTCCCTACCCTAGGTACTCCATTTAAGTGGAATCATACAATATTTGCCTTTTTGTGTCCGGCTTATTTCACTTAGCGTGATGTTTTCAGGGGCCAGCACTTCATTCCTTCCTAAGGCTGAGTAGTGTTTCATTGATCATATACACAGTTCGTTTACCCATTCATCTGTTGATATCTTCCCTCTCTTACAGCTCTTCAAATTCATCAACTTCAACAGGACCATGAGTCAGCTCTCCACAACCATGTCTCGGTGTGCCAAAGACCTCTTTGGCTTTGCCATCATGTTCTTCATTATTTTCTTAGCATACGCTCAGTTGGCGTACCTTGTGTTTGGCACTCAGGTTGATGACTTCAGTACTTTCCAAGAGTGTATGTAAGTACATATGAAATTAAGAAGGAAATGTAATCAGGGATACCACTGCCTTCTCGAGGATATGGAAGTTTTGGTGGCTATTTAACCAACAAGTGTTTGAAAATAGTTTTTTTAAATGAGAATTCTCTTTCCCAGAAGCATTGACCCACCAGTGCAAAGATGATAATACATCCTCAAAGATGAATGCTTAAGAAAACAGCTCAACAGCCATACAATGTAATAGAACAGCTATAGTAAACCGACACTGTTCCAAAGACTGAGGTCTCTTTAATGCCAAGTGGCAGCTTTTAAGAGGCCATTTGTCTATATTTTTCCTATTCCATATTACTGCCATATATTTTAAACTTTAAGTTATTTTCCAAGAAAAAAAAATAGCATTTCTAATGTCCTAGGAGAAACTCAAACCAGTATAGGAACTATTAGTCAATATAATATTAAAAATAAACAAAAAGAGCCAGTATCAGATTTCCATGCCATTTAGAAAGGAGTTAGTTAGGAAAGGAAAAGAGGACCATTATAACGGAAGTTAATAGGGCTTTGTGCCTGAGGATCTCTAATTAATATTGCTGTTTGATAAAAGTCAGGAATGGAAATTATTTTACTAAGACCCAGTATTGGCAACACATGGCACTCTTCACCCAGCTTTGAATGCGTGTGAGAATATTGGATCTCTGAATACATACAATTTTGGCTATCCTTCAAAATAATTTTTTTTTAAAGAGATTTTAAATTCAGACCCCGGGTGACTATTTGAAGGCTTAGAGTTACCATGTTTTATCCAAGCTATTTAATTTTTAATTAATTATGATTCAATACAATTAAACATCCAGTTCCTCATTACTCTAGCCAGATTTTAAGTGCTCAATGTCTGTCTATACATAACTGGTGACTACTGCACATATTCCCATCATCACAGAAAGTTCTGTTGAATAGCACTGTTTTAGAAGGTCCTCACCAACAGTTACTTGTTTTCCTGAATTGATATTCATGCCTGGAAAGGCTGAGATCTATCAGAGGGCACAGACTTCATCCTGGGTCTTGTGCTATTTATTCAGTTACATGCTTGTTTCAGGAAAAACCATCACTAACACACCAAACCTTTATCATAGTATAATAATAATCATCAGCATAATGAAGATCTCATAGGAATAGTATAGGAATTATATTAAGTAATGTGGTTCCAACAACCCTCAAAAAAACGATATTGTATCCAGAAACAGTATATAAGAGTTTTTTTTAGTACAATTCTAGAGATTTAATTTATGCCTCAGGCTGGTGGTTTTATTTAGTGCTTTGCTTGTAAATATCTTCCCCCCAAAACTTTATGAACCATTAGGTTCTTTAAGGCAGGAATGTGGCTGGGCTTGTAATGTACCCCCCGGTTCTTCCACCAAGGCTTCTAACTAGAGCCACACAGGCATCATACTCGCTGGGCTGGGAACTGCACAAACTGGGCAGCTGTCGTCAGAGCCTTGTCTTCAGAAACACTCAGTATGGCTTTGCTGTCAGAGCTGGGTTCAGACCCTCACCCTGAGCCCCAGCAGACGCCTGGGGATAGAACACCAATATTTCAGTCACTGTGCAGACGGGAGGTAGTGTACATAGGCCCTTCCCATGGCGGCTGGCACATAGTTGGTGCATAATAAATAACAGTTAATAATATGCAAGGAGTATTTCCTGGAGATTTTTTTTTTTTACCAGTTTTTATTTGTGGCTTCTTTTCCTGTCTTTTAATTTTTCTTAGGGGAAAAATATCTCTACTCATTTGAGTTATAATTAAACTGGCTTTTACAATATTGTAACCACCATGTAAAATGTCAGCAACATGAGGGCAGCTTTGTTCTGCTCACTGCTGTACTCTCAGTTCCCGAAATAGCACCTGGCACATGGCAGGCTCTCAACAAATAACTTTTTGAGAAAATGGAAGTTGCTGGGTTTGAAAAAAAAGCAAGTCATTTTTCTTCTCTCTCTCTTCTTTTTAAATTTTGGTAAAATACATATAGAATTTACCACTTGAAATATATATATATATTTTTTGAGNTAGTGTGTTGTCTCATTTTGTTTTTATAGCTTCACTCAATTCCGTATTATTTTGGGCGATATCAACTTCGCAGAGATAGAGGAAGCTAATCGAGTTTTGGGACCAATTTATTTCACAACATTTGTGTTCTTTATGTTCTTCATTCTTTTGGTATGTACACTACTTTTGTTTATAATGAGGTGCTTTAAACTTCATAAATCACCATCTTTTTTTCTTTCACACTGTATTCCCTATCGTTTTTTAAAAGATGCAGGAAGTAGAAAAATATGTATTTATTAGAAGACATATTTTATGTTACTTCTCATTGATTCACAGTTTTAAGTCTTCAACAAATATCTTTTCCATGTTCTTTCACTTATCCACATATGTGTCTGTTCAATGCAAAAAATGGTTCCTGTGCAAATCCATAGAGTTACCTAAAATTGTGCTTCTCCTGAGAAGTGGGATGTGCTTACATGCTTTTTTAACATAAGCGTCAGCACTTTCATAGTCACCTGCTAGTGTGACTTTTCATTCCTCTTTTTCCTCTTTCCTTTCTGAAAAATAGGAACTGACAAAGCAAGCAAGAGATAACCTATGTAAATTGCTTAGGACAAGGTCTAGTGTAGGGTAAGTGCTACAGTCTTAGACTTACCATAAAGGAACTCTTACTGATTGAGTAAAATAGATCACAATATGTGGGTTTGTAAGGAAGAAAATGTATTGCACTTGGCATAACTTAATGGAAAAAATTATTTTCCCAAAGAATATGGTAGCAAAACTATTAATCTATGACTCCTTCAGGTATCAGATTACCAAAAATAATAATAATAATAAGTGAACAAAAGAGCATTTGTCAAATTTGGGTAGATATTGATAAAATATATTTAGGTTTCTTCTTTTAATCTCAACCTTCTTTTATTTACAAACAGAATATGTTTTTGGCCATTATCAATGATACTTACTCTGAAGTTAAATCTGATTTGGCCCAGCAGAAAACTGAAATGGAACTCTCAGATCTTATCAGAAAGGTATGGCAAGCCCTGATTCCCAGAACTGTTCTGTTTTCTATTATAAAATCAGCATTGTTTCAGCCAGATTTCCAAATTAACATGGATCCATTGTCATTGTTTAAAATAAAGAGTACATTGCCATCTATCAGGTATAATTTATATGTTTTCCCTCTTGGAGCAAGATAGAGAGATCTGCTATCTTGGGCTTAAAATCTGGGGATCCTTTAATGCCTGGGAATTGAATTCTCAATAATCTCCTTTGACTCTTAAGAGCTGAGCTGCTGGTTTCATCCCCTCTGTGTGTTTTGACACCTCCTCTAGTCAGCTCTCACTTCCAGATACAGAGTTCAGAATAAACCAGAAGGAAAGATTATAAAGACATTTCCACTTTTTCTACCTCAATTACAACTTTAAAAAAAAAGAAAATGAAAAGTTTTAGAGGCAAGTATTTTGTAGTTCATTCTTTATCCTTGACCTTCAGGGAAATTTTTAAATAGTCAAAGGAAAAGGTCCGAGAAGTAAGGCCACAGTCAGAGGGCCTGAGAACTTTTACTTACGCCCCTTCTCAGGAAGTGTTTAATTGTTAAATAGAAGGACTGTACCGGAAAATTGAGCAGGTGTGTTCTTCTCAATGTGACTTCTTTATTTGGTTTAAAGTATAAAACTTAAGCAAAAACAAATAACTGCATCTAAAGTACATAGGTGGTTCCCTAACATCATTTTGCTAAGATACAGTGGCTCCTTGAACTGTAATATTTTTCTGTTGGTTCAGCTCTAGGACTAAGTTGTCTGTGAACCATCTTGTAACAGAGAACTTCTACTTCTAAAAAAACAAAGTCCTTTGGATAAAACCTAGCTTCGTGTTATTCTAAGTCTTGCTTAATGGTTCACTACATTTTAGCACATCTCCAGGGTGCATGCAAGCAGTCCTCATTTTGCGCTTTGATTCTGATATGCACAGGTTTCAATTATTTCAGTTTAATTCAGCTTATTTCAACCTCTCAATCCAGTTCAAATTTCAAGTTATCCAGTATATTGGCTGTGAATAATAGCATAACGTACAAACTTCATTCCTGGCTCTTCCATCTGTAAATCATTACATAAACAACAGGTGTGGATCATAACCAATGACCAATAATGTCACTTCTTTCAAAGTCTTTGATTGGTCACTTCACATCTGCCATTCAGTCACATGCAAAATTCGCAGTTGTGTTGCCCCTTTATCTCCCAGTGATAAATCCATGTGACTTTTACAAAAATTCATAATTGAAATAGAGAATGGGCCAGCAAAGATGCAAGTATAGCAAAGAAACAAAGAATGATAACACTGGAAGTGTAAGTCAAAACAAATGTAATGCGTTTATGGAAGAAATAGGTAGCTAGCCATGGGGACGTTGACACTGCTGCCATTCAAGAGATCTGGGCATGCAGCCCAAAGAACAGAGTGAAGGCAAACTTATCAATATAATTAAGGAAAGTAATTGTGATGAGAAGGATGAATAAGTCTCAGAGGAAGTGACACTGGCAAAAAAATTCACAATAAAGGAACTCTTGGAGATATTTCATAACATTGAAAGTGCAAAAGATAAAGTATTGGGAGCTGATCTGTATTAAGGATTATAACTCATCAAGACAGAAAAGATGCTCAAAGTATATATACTATATACTATGATATAGTATAACCATATCATAAGTTATACAAGAAGAAGAAAGCAAGCACTGTTCACACTACTCTGGATAAGTTTTTTACAAAGAAATTAAACACTTTAATTTTCAGTCTTTCTACTGCTTCAAATTTCAATGTACTGAATAAATATTCATTTTATTATTTTTTAAATTTCCCTATAAATTTATAACCAAGACTAATGGAGTTTTAAATGCTTTGCCTAAAAGTTTGAAAGGTCCTGGGACAATCATTTTCCTGTTGATTATTAGCATCACTTTGCACAGTTTGAGCTCGCCTGGCCATTTCTGCAGTCCTACACTGCCAGGCAGAGCAAGGCCTGCCTGTACTTAGTGAAAAATCCTCATTCACATTTTCCTGAAATATTTTGAAATACTTAATATAGGTAAGGAAATTACTATGAGATAAAACAGAAAATAACCAGTCAATCCATTACTCAGGTTTCTCGGTGTTCTTAAGAACTGTTGCACATTCCTGCACATTCTGAGGCAGACAGAGGTGGAGCAGGCAGTGATTTCATTTCTGTAATCTAAATTTGAATACACATATAAGCAAAAGGCCCTTGGTTCTCTTGATTTACTGGGAGATCCTGACTCTTTCCATGTAGCTCTTCTACAAGAGTTTTATGGGAGACTTGGGAGATGATCATTATTCATTCAGCACATACTTGCTGAGTGACCAGCTTACACCAAGGTCTGTCTGGTCATTGGGTTTGCAGTAGTTACTATCGTAAATGAAAGGGAAAGCAAGTGCAAAAGGAGAATAATCCAAACGAAGTCTTTTATTTTCAACAGGGCTACCATAAAGCCTTGGTCAAACTAAAACTGAAAAAAACCACAGTGGATGACATTTCAGAGAGTTTGCGGCAAGGGGGAGGCAAGTTAAACTTTGATGAACTTCGACAAGATCTCAAAGGGTGAGGATCACACTTTCTGACACCCTGAAAAATTCCTTATGTAAAGATAAATTCTTGGTGATAAGGATATTTCTGGCCCAAGTCCCCAGAGAGACACCTTTTTATTCAGAGGTGGGTGTCTTTCTGGAACACACTGTAAGAGGAAGACTGGCCCTGATTCAACCATTTCCCCTTCCTCCTGAATGTCGATGGCTCTGGGTTTGGGTGGGACCGTGTACATGAATGAGTTCATCTAACCTCTCAACAATTTCAGAAAAGGCCATACCGATGCAGAGATTGAGGCGATATTCACAAAATATGACCAGGACGGAGACCAAGAACTGACTGAACATGAACATCAGCAGATGAGAGACGACTTGGAGAAAGAGAGGGTGGGCCTGGTTTAGGGGAACGTGATGCGATCAGCACCCCCAGTATCTCAAGCACTGTATTCAGTGGATTAAGTGGTGGATTACAGTGTACATGAATGAGTTCATCTAACCTCTCAACAATTTCAGAAAAGGCCATACCGATGCAGAGATTGAGGCGATATTCACAAAATATGACCAGGACGGAGACCAAGAACTGACTGAACATGAACATCAGCAGATGAGAGACGACTTGGAGAAAGAGAGGGTGGGCCTGGTTTAGGGGAACGTGATGCGATCAGCACCCCCAGTATCTCAAGCACTGTATTCAGTGGATTAAGTGGTGGATTACTGACAGTCTTCTTGTTCTCTCTCTCTCTCTCTCTCTCTCTCTCTCTCTCTCTCTCTGTCATAATTTATGTATCAATATCTGCTTATTCCAAAAAGGATATATAACAATAATATATAGAAATGCAGTATAAATACCATAAATATAAAAAATCAAATGAAGAGAAGCAAAACAAAAGTGAAATATAAAACTAGACTATGAGTGAAGCTAAAAATACTTCATAACAACACACAACAAATGCTGGTGAGGATGCAGTGAAAGGGGAACCCTCCTACACTGCTGGTGGGAATGTAAATTAGTTTAACCATTGTGGAAAGCAATATGGAGGTTCCTCAAAAAGCTGAAAATAGAAATACCATTTGACCCAGGAATTCTACTCCTAGGAATTTACCCTAAGAAAACAAGATCTCTGAATCAAAAAGGCATATGCACCCCTTTGTTTATCACAGCACTATTTACAATAACCAAGACCTGGAAGTAATCTAAATGTCCATCAGTAGATGAATGGATAAAGAAGAGGTGGTATATATATGCAATGGAATATTACTCAGGCTTGAAAAGAAAACAAATCCTACCATTTCCAATAACATGGACGGAGCTTGAGAGTATCATGCTCAGTGAAATATGCCAGGCAGAGAAAGACAAGTACCAAATGATTTCCCTCATTTGTGGAGTATAAAACAATGAAGCAAAACTGAAGGATCAAAACAGCAGCAGACTCAGACTCCAAGAAGGGACTAGCAGTTTTCAAAGGGGAGGGGTGGGGAAGGGTGGGTGGGGAGAGAGGGAGAAAGGGATTAAGGGGCATTATAAGCAATCACAGTATAGGTAGGTCATGGGGAAGGCAGTACAGCACAGAGAAGACAAGTAATGACTGTAGCATCTTACTATGCTGATGGACAGTGACTGCAGTGGGGTGGGGGTGACTTGATAATATGAGTGAATGATGAAACCACAATGTTGCTCATGTGAAACCTCCATAAGATTTTATATCAATGATACCTTAACTTTTAAAAAAACTGGTTAAATAAACTAAAGAAAGAGTCCATAGTAATTGAAGTACAGAGAATACAGATGAATGTTATACATAAAAGCCACTCTCCTATGGGGAGATAGTATAGAACAGTGGTTTCTAAATGCTGCTCCACAGAACACTGCTAATAGGTGAAAAATTCCAGTCATTCTGAAGTGTGAACAGGAAGACGAGTAAAAACTTCACGAAGCTGTATTTAGTCAAAATTCTTCTTTGATTATATCCTTCCTACTTTGTAGCTATTAAATATTTTTCTTATGAAAAGTTGATAATTTCTTTTTTTCTTTGCTTCGTTGTGTTTCTAATATTCTTTCTTGTCCAAACAAAAAGTTGGAAACTCCTTACTCTTATTAAAACCTGTTTTGAAAAGTTAGCTAATCCTTGAAATTCAAAAGTATGGGAATCACAGTCTGGTGATAGCCAGAAAGAAATCCTAGGTAAATGGCACACGCCTATTTCCCATTCACCCAAGCCCCAAGTCAAGCTTCTGTGGGGTCTAGGTGTTACTGGCTCTCACTCAGTGATCTCATGTTCTTCAGGAGGACCTGGACTTGGATCACAGCTCTTTACCACGTCCCATGAGCAGCCGAAGTTTCCCACGAAGCCTGGATGACTCTGAGGAGGAGGAGGATGAAGACAGTGGACACAGCTCCAGACGGAGGGGAAGCATCTCCAGTGGTGTTTCTTATGAAGAGTTCCAAGTGTAAGTATAACAGAACTGGCAGAATTTGAGTTGATAAAAGTCCAAATGAGACCAAGCAACTTCTCCCACCTCACTCAATTTGGTCCTGTGGGATTCACATATAAATCAAGTATAAAAATCAAGTGAATAATCATATCTGACTTGATTTTTATAGTTCATCAAGCAATAGTTCATGATGCATGATCAAAACAAAAACAGTTTCTGTGATATGACTGCCCTTGCATTGTTCACTATGTCAGAACTTGTTCACCATGTAAGAACTTGTTCATTATGCTTCAGAAGATTGGAGACTGTTGAGAGTTAGGCTTGGGGTTGATTAATGATTGTGTATGGAGTCCCCTATACAGAATTTTATTGTTGTTAACAACCATCTGATCCGTAAATATGAGAGGTACCCTCTCAGCACCACTCTTGAGCGCTGTTAAGCCTTGAGTCCCCTGGCTGGCCCTTTCAGATCTTCGGTATCTCATCGTGTATCCTCCCTTATCTGCGGGGCAGAGGCAGGGAGGAGACTGACAGGTCCTTTGCATTACTGATCATCACTTTTTTCATAACTTTTATTGATAGTTGTGTCTCCATTTACATGTGTTAATTTTTTAAAATGTTTTTATAGCCTAGCCCATAGTGTATCCTGGAGAATGTTCCATATGCACTTGAGAAAAATGTACATTCTTCTCTTGTTAAGTATTCTATAGATGGTTGTTAGGTCTGGTTGGTGTACAGTGTTACTCAAATCTTCTGTTACCTTGTTGCTCTACGTAGTTGTTCTTTCCACTTTTTGAAGGTGGGGTATTAAAATCTTCAACTATTATTATTAATTTGTTCCTTCATTTCTGTAAGGTTTTGCTTTGCGTATTTTGGAATGCTTTTGTTAGATGCATACATGTTTATAACTGGTATACCTTCCTAATGCATTGACCCACATTCATTATAAAAGAGAGCCTCATACCTCTCAGTCACTCTTGACTGAATTAGAACCTAATTTCTGATGTCTCTTTAGAATGCCATTGTATAGATAAGCAAGAACATATTTAAATGATGTCCTATTATTTAATGTAACCACTTTTCAGTGACCCACTGTTAGTAAGCAGAACTCTAGTAAATATCCTGGTAGTGTAAAATCACACATATACTTATTTCCTTTAGAAAAGTTCCAAATATGGAATATATGAATAAAGGTAGGCATACATTAAGACTTCCGATACAGTGTTGACATGCAGAAAAGTTGTGCCAGTTAGCACTCCCTTCAACAATGTCGAGAGTTTATTGCCAAAGTTTGAGACTATCTAGACACTGGTTCAGATTACCCTATAATTCTTTTGTTTAAGAAAAAATCTTGGCACTTCCAGTTGAAAAGCCAACTGGGCTGAAGAGACAACAGCACATGGTGGCTTAGCCCCTCTCAACTGTGGTTTCCTGCAGCCTGGTGAGACGTGTGGACCGAATGGAGCACTCCATCGGCAGTATTGTGTCCAAGATCGATGCTGTGATCGTGAAGTTGGAGATCATGGAGCATGCCAAACTGAAGAGAAGGGAGGTGCTGGGAAGGCTGCTGGATGGAGTGGCTGAGGTTAGTGGCTATCAGAAGCTCAATCTGATTCTATAAATTATCAAGGGAGTCATGTTTTATAACCCTTAATCTGAGAGGTTTCTCTGTCTCCCTGACTGCAGATCAGTACAGTTCAAATGATAATCTGGAGATGTTGCTTTTTTAATAGCCCACACACTGATGGCCCTGCCTTTGCTGGATGGTAGAATTAAGCAAAAAAAGTTACTCCAGAGAACTGCTATTATGTGCTATAAATTTCCAGCCTTACTTAATTACAAACAGATTATTTGGCCCCCAAACTTCCTAAGGCAATTTCTAAGTACAAGAGCATGCATCACCCAGCCTCCAATACCCTGGTTTCTTTTTCCTTTATTAGGATGAAAGACTGGGTCGAGACAGTGAGATCCACAGGGAGCAGATGGAACAGCTCGTGCGGGAAGAGCTGGAGCGCTGGGAATCTGATGATGGAGCTTCCCAAACAAGTCATGGTTTAGGCACACCTGTGGGACTAAATGGCCAGCCTCAGCCCCAAAGCTCCCGCCCTTCTTCTTCCCAGTCTGCAGAAGGAATAGAAGGCAGAGGTTCCAATGGGAGTTCCAATAGCCACGTCTAGAATGTTTGTTTGTATGTGTGTTCCTAATAGGTGAGAAGGTGTCTGTTCTGGATTGTCATAGCAAGTACACTATTTATATGCCCTGACCACCATATCATGCTGGTCGTTATGACCAGCTGTTAATTCTCCTGCACTTTAATTTATTTACATAAACTTTTCCCATAAGATCAAAGATTTTTTTTTCCTCATAAAAGAAATCTAGGTGTAAATATTAAGTACAGAAAAAAATATCTTTGTAAAGTATGTGGGGTGGTATGCCCGCATGCTACCATGTATGAGTCTTCTCAGTTGACAATGAAGTAGCCTTTTAAAGCTAGAATAGGACAGTCAAAAGGCTTCTGAGTTTTGTTTCCAGTCACAAAAATCAGTATTGTCATATTCTTGCCCAGTGTGTGAAGGGAAAATAGGGGCATTCCTTTCTACTCAGGCTTAGCTCATGGGCTGAATACATAATTTTCTTTAAAGAAAGGAGCCTTTGTTTTCAACTACCTTACTGGGGTAACTTTTCCAAAAGATGAACTGCAAAAGAACTCCAAGCCATAGAATGGTTATGTAGTCATTATGCTAGAATTTGTATGAATGGTTAGATAAATGTCCAATACTATGCTTGTTATTTTATCATATCTGATGTCTGTGGGAATAACCATTTCGTTTATTTACAGTATTTTTGCTATCATTTGAAATGAGCTGCATGAAACCCCCAAAAATCAATTATGGGTGAAAATGTCATCTCTAGCCATAACACAGGAAAATTAGAAGATCCTTATCAAAAAGTTCGGCTTTTTCTAATAATTAGTTTAGTATAAAGATTTATCCATCTTTCCTGCCTGGCTCAACTTATTTGCAACTGAATTTAATGTTGTAACTGAACTGGGATGAACAACTTACTAAATTTTTTTTATATGTACTGAAAGTTTAACTCAGCAAATATGTTCATTTTAAACAAAATTTTAAAGGAGTTTTCAAATTCCCATGAAAATATTATAAAATTTAAGTTTGAGTTTTATACTGTTTTAAGAACACAGAAATCAAATACTCTTTATCCTGCATTTCAAAACAAGAATTTGGAATCTAAATTTAGCTCAATTTAATGAAAAGGAATGTTTGATACTGAAAGTTCATCTATTATCAGACCATATCAACCAAAGTTTGTTTGCAAGTTTTTTCATTAGGAGTGGTTGTCACCATATTTATGGGGAAGAAATATATTTCTCAATAAAAAATTAAAACCCTGTTGTTTAAAAGTGTTGAGTAAAGTTACCTTTCGAGAATTAATGGGACAAGAAAGAGGATGCAGTGCTGGTAAATAACTTTTCATTTGGAGAACAATAGAAGAGAGGCCTGATTTTTAATGCCGTATTTTAAATTCACACATTGTTCATTTAATTTGTAGAATATGTCAATCAGATCTTCAATGAAAACATGAGCAAAAAGACCTTTCCAAGCTGGCTCCTACATAGGAGACATAAACAGTTACTTCCTATGGCTTCATCTGAGTCTTTACTTTATTTTGTATATGCTTCACAAAGTTCTTTATAACCAGGTACTAAAGTTTGCATTCCAGGGTTATTGAGTGTACGTATTTGTGTATATGAACCATGTTGTTACATGTAAACAAACTTCAGTTTGAAGTGCAGTCATTATGTGGTATCCATGTGTATTGACCACGTGCCATATATCAATTATGGTCACTACCAAGTCTTTTTATGATACTTACTGTTACACTGTTTTTCATTTTACCTGTAGGATTTTGAAGAATTGTTTTTTTTATCCTTGTTACTTTTTTTTTTTCTTTAGTCATGGAAAATTCCTTCCTCTTCTCTCCCCTATCATCTTCCCCTCTATAGTAGTATTTTTAAGATGTTACATATGCAAGTCTCTGTTGATAATCAAGGATTTCATTAATGTATAATACTGAGCACTTTACTTCTTAATAAAGACTTGATATAATAGCAGATAATGAGTTGTCTGTTTCCTAAGTAGCAGCAGTTGGTTAACTTGCCTTGTATCATGAGGCTGATAGTAAAGGCTTAGACTTTATGTCCAAAAGAACATAATTGGCACATTACTACTTCTACAGCATGTAAATCGAGTAAGTTATTCAGATGATCGTATAATATCTCCTAGTGTGCAGGTGCCACATTTTGTTCATGCATTCCTATAGTGAATGGGTGACTCTCATATTTCTGTTTCAGAATCTTTGTACACAGTTCACTTGTTGACTTTTCATGAGTACCTCTGTGAGTATATGAGAGGAGTCAGAGTGCTGAGTCCTAGATATATAAATACGTAATTATACCCAGAACTGTGAGGTTGCCCTCCCGAATGACCACACCAGTCTGCAGTCCCACTGCACTCAGAATGCCAGTTTCATACAGACCCTTACCAACGCTGTATGATTCAGCTTCCAGATCTGTTTATGAAATGGTCTTAAAGTGAGGTCTCATTTTATTTTGCATCTCTCTGATTCCTAATAAGGTTGAACATCTCCTCATACAGTTGTTGAACATACAGGTTTCCCTTTTTTATAAATTGCCCATTCAAGCCTTTAAAATCTTATATTTTGGTCTAGTGGGAAATAAGTATGTTTTTATTCAGTCACTATCTTTCCACTAGGTTGTGGTCTTTTTTATTCATTTACAAAAGTTCCTTGTATGGTTTTAAGCATTAATCCCTTATCAGTTTTGGACTCTGGGTAATCTCTCTCCTCCAAGTGTCAATGTTGGTCTAGGTCTTATATAGTCAAATCTACTGTTTTTGGGGTTTTTTTGCTTTATTGTGTGTTTGGGGATCTAGAGGCCCAAATAAAAGATCACACACTTTTCTTTCTTAAACTTAGTTTTACATTTCACACTTAATACATCCTAAAAATAACTTTGTGAAAGGTCCATAGCCATTTTTCACCATATGATGAGCCAGTTCTGTCAACACTCCTTATTAAGTCATTTTTCCTTAGCAGTTCATGTTGTCACTGATATATTTCAGTTTCATGTATACATGGGTCTGTTTTTGAACTCTTTAACCTCTTACACCAATCTATGAATGTTCCTGCACAACAATTTTTAATTAATAATGACTTCATAGTATATCTTCAGATGTGTTCTCTTTAGCCTCCTTTCTTTTCATTTGCAAAATCAAACTATTTTTGTAAGCCTTAATTTTTCTATGTAGATGTTAGAACAGGTTTGACTCACCAAAAGTGATTTGTCAGCAGAGCTGAGCAGTGTGGTAACTGCTTGCTTTGCCTGCTGCTCCACCAGTGTAGAACAGCTTGTAATTTAACACTTCAGGCCTGGGAGTTCCAATACAACAGAGCCTAAAGCTGCAGAGACAGGGAGCATAAATTCTGCAAATGGGTTAATGGGAATGATATTGAGAAAGGCCACTATTTCTTGGTCCATGGACCTGTGTTTTCTACCAGCTGGGAATAGGCACTCTTGGTTTAATGCAGGGATCTGCAGACTTTCCATAAAGGGCCAGAGAATAAGTGTTTTAGGTTTTTGAGCCATAAGGGTCTCTGTTACAACTACTTTGCTATCATAGTGCAAGAGCAGCCATAGACGATACAAATACAAATGGGCATGAGTGTATTCCAAAGTAAGTTTTATTTACAAAAACAGGCAATGTGCTGGATTTGATTTGCAGGCCATAGCTTGCCAACCCTTGGTTTAATGCACAGAACAGATCCTGGATGATGGTGCTCCAACACCCCTGAGGATGTCATCCATGAACTGGCACTAACAATGCTAATAACCAGTGTGCTGTCCTGCAGGATGTAAGAGTAATAGCTAAAATATAGTGAGTTCATCCTATGAGCCAGGTACTTCTAGGCACTTAACATGTATTACCTTGCTTAATCTTCACACCTCCACTGAGGGATAGATACTACTGGACTCCCTATTTTATAGGTAAGAAAGATACAGATGAAGCTAAGTTAATTAAGTGCACAGACCTGGTGGACGGTGGATGACAAAGTGGGGAGAAGGGGCAAATTTGCCTGAGTACTTGTAGAGAGAAAAAGCCCCCATATTTACCCCACAGCTTCTAAAACACTTGTAAGCACAACTCCCTAGTTTCTATTGAAGCCCATTGTCCCCATCCTGGCTTTTGCACATGTTTGCAAAAGTGACCCACCAGAAGTGATTTGTCAAGCTGCCCTGGTAATACTGTAGTGCATTCCAAACCAAACCTAGCAAGGAAGTCATCTGTGTGACCTTTGGCTGGTCAGTCTCTGAAACTCAAGTTTCCTTATCTATGAAATGAAAAAGATGGAACAGCTTGAGGTTCCAAACAGTAAACTGCCAACTACTTCATTATTGAGATGATGCCTGAGGTTTCACTGCTTGGCAAAGAAAGGAGTCCACATTGTCACTTGGATCAGAGCTGCACCACTTTTGGCTATCATTTATCAAAGACACATACATGCTGCCTGTGAGGTTACCAGGTGAAGATTGACTTTGTGAGTTAAAGAAGGTTTGATGATTAGGTGATGTTAATGAGCTCATTTGGTTCCAAATGTGAGCCTGATATTAGGTGGATAAAATACATGGTTTTGAACAAACTGTTACACCATGATTGGCTCAAGATCAAATTATAACAAATGTAAGTTAAATGGCTATAGCTGCTTACTACAATCCTACATCATTTCCCAAAGAATTACTTAGAATTCCCACATCCACCCCTCAGCAGCTCTTACTCAACCAGGGAGAAAAAAAAAAACAGTCTTTCCTTCCTTGCATAAGCATCCAGATGTCATTGATCCTCACCAGACAAGTTTGGGAAACAGCAAAGGAATGTGGAAGTTCACATTCTAGAAAATAAAGATTACTTTGATTTAGAATATAAGTATCTTATGTTCATATTGCTAAGTGGGGACAAAAAAATAGGCTACAAGTCAATATATTAGTCAATTTTTTTTTAGTGTATGCCCAAAGATGGAAGGCCAAGAGGTCCACCAAGATGGTAGCTAGATTTGGTGGATTTCCAGGTTTTCTTTCTTTAGGATCCTTACTCCATTTTGGATAAAAACAAACCTTTGAGGGTGAGGTGGGGATACTGATTGTCTCCCACATTGTCTTGGTGGTGATGAGCTGTTCCAACTATTAGGTTAGTCGGACACACAAATTCCCATGAGGGTAGTAGACAGCACTTGAATTAGTCTTAAATCCAATTCTATCTTTACCAAAGTTTCACACCTGAGAGAGGAATGTCACAAGTTTACATAACATTGTACTGTTTAAATTAGTAAATTGGTGCTCTGCTTTACCAATGCCTCCTTGAGGATGGCTGCTGTGAATTAATTCCTCAGAGCACAGCAATGCCCCTATCAACACCCACAGCAATGCAAATGCATTGAAAAAATTAATAAAATCTAATTCTCAAACATGCAAAATAGGATCCCCCACAAATCCCTGGTGAGGGCTGGTCTTAACTGGTAGCCAACTCTGCTAAGGAAGAGAATAAAGTACTAGGAAGTGATATATTTATTCTATTATGTATTTCAATATAATATCCTGAAAATTAAATTTCATAATTAAATCAGCAACACATTTCTTAGAAACCTGGTTTATCAACATTTTAACTGTGGTCTCACATGCAGCAGGAGCAACAACTGTTCACAGCAGGAGTCTGCCAGCTGTGGCCGGCGGGCCCAAGCCAGCCCCCACTGCCTGTGCTGTATAGCCTTGCGCTGATAAAGCTTCTACATTTTTCAGGAATGGCTTTACATCTTTAGAAGGTTGTTAAAAAAAATAAAAGGCAAAGACTGAAAAGTATTTATGATTGGATCCCTTCACAGATAAAATCTGTCAGTGCTGGTATACAGGAATAAAAAAGTTGGGGCTGCCCCACCAGTCAAAACAAAATGTTAAAGAAACCACACACAAAACCAACCAGATAAACAAGAGAAAGGTTGACCTTTCAAACAGAAGAAGTCTCTCCTTGATTTTAGCAACTTTGAGTCCAAATCTGCATAATAGGACAGTGAAAATGTTTTGGTAACAATTCCAGTTAAATGATAGGCTTATACCAAGGCATATAGTGGAAATTGTAAAATCCTCTTGGGCGGCTGCTCTTCTTGAAGTCAGTTGAAAGACGGATAGATAATTCAATATAAACAACCATGTAACCATAAAATCTTAAACCTAAAAGAAGTTCTTATTTTATAGGTGCAGAAGGAATTCAGAGAATGTGTGGGTGCATAAAAACAGCATAAAATGCAAAATAAGTATTAAGAATCTGTATTATTCCCATCTGAGATAGGTAGAGCAATATATCCATTGTTAATTACCAAATAAATTACCATAGAATTTATCCAACCAGGACACTATAATAAAATGAATATATAGTTAGTACATATTTTTTTAGAAGTTATATATATTTTTATATGTCTTAGTTATTTTTACTGATGGACCTGTAAAATGTAAAACATAAATCTATTTTCAAAAATAACTTTCAGGATGCACCACATGAAATTTCTTTGGATTATTTCTGTGCACACAAGAAATTGGTTACAATACGAAATATATTTTTTTACCATGGCTACTGGTCAAGTTTTAATGCACTGCAATGACATGGAAGTAGCCTTAAGTCATTGACCTTCTATAATCCTACTGCTACATCCAAAAGAAAAATTCTTTAGACACAGTACAGTGAGAGGTGTCATAAAATGGTATACAGCTCTGCCACAGAGGAATACAAAATAAAACAAAGTACAGAATTTCTATAAAGTTAATGCCTCCAGAAGGACTCTTCACCTAAGACAATGATCCTCAGGTTCCAGGGACAATTATAAAGTTATTGCATGTGTAAACTTGCATGACTGGCTGGCTGGTCTCCTCAAAGAAAAGCACCGTACCAGCCCCTTGCTCATGGGTCAGTAGTGGCTGTCAGTAGGTCAGCATTGATGAGAGCCTAGGCTGTGGGACCATGAGCAGCCGCCATCCCTCTGTCTCAAATGGTCTGTTCCAGGGCCCATTGAGCAAGCACTGGGACGGCCTAAAGATATCTTATAAATATGAGTAATGCTACCTTTCAGATATATGTAGATGGTATTGAGGTTAATGACATTCAAATCTTGACCATGAAGGATGGCTTCAAAGATGGTGAAACAACAACGACTTCTTCAACACTCTTTCCAACCTACCTATTTTTCCTTTCCTTTCTTACCACCTCACCAACTCTGCCAAGGAGCCTTCCACAGCAACAGTCTTGCTCTCCTGAAAGCCCCATGAGCTCAACTGAAGTATAAATAGTAAGTAACATTCATTTATTCCTGAGGTTTCTTTCACTTTAAGCCAAAACAACTGATTTATCCTTTCACTAGACACTAGTTCTTCTGACATCCAACAAAATAAAAACAAAGTTGGAAAGAATAGACATATTCTGAAGTAATTTCTATAGTAATATTTTATTTTCTACTGTATAGGACTTTTGCTTTTACTTATACTTTAAAAAATGTTCCTTAACTTAAAAATGTTAAGATGGCAAATTTTATTATGTTTACCAAAGTAATTTCTAAAAAAGAATTATGTGAAAGAGATAACTGTAATACAAAGGGAGGATAAGTATAATAGAATATAAAATTCTTATTAATTTTGCAAAGTAATGAGCATTAATATTTTTGGCTGTTTTGTTTCTTCTGTTACGTACATTTCATATATAAATTATATGTTTCTCTGGGTAATCAGAGAGGAGTGTATACAGAGAATTGTGAGTAGGCCAAGGTTGTGTAAAAAGAAGGAGTAGTACTAAGAACAGGAATAACTGATTAACCCTAACAGTTATACAATAATCAGATAAAATTGTGGGTGCGATAATGTGATACAAGATGATGCATCAATCAAATGTCACACACAAAAAAAGAAAACAATGTTCTTCAAAGTTCAAAGATAAAAATAGAATGCTATGTCCCTGGATCGATGTTGCAACAATACAAGTAGGGCTCCCACTGCCAGCAGATGGTATTCCAAGATGACAAGTCACAGGGGGTCTATACTCTGGTGATCCTCAGCTCACTTATTTCCATAATAGTGAAAGTGTTCACTTTTTTAAAAGGGGATTAAATGTAATGTGATCTCCTGAACTGGATCCTAGAACACTAAAATAATATTAGTGGAAAAGTGGTGAAGTATGAATAATGTGAATAATTTAATGAACAGTAATATGCCAGTGCCAATGTGTTAGTTTGACAGGTACCATGGTACAGAAAATGTTAATACTTAAGGGAAGCTGGGCAAAGAGTATACAGGTACTTTCCACACTATCTTTGTAACTTTTCTGTAAATCTAAAATCATTCCAAATTAATAGTTGACTAAAAATAGGGAGAGACTTAATTAAGGATGTACCTGAGTGCACAGGAATACAAAACTGAGCTGTTGGGATGTTCTCATAATAGCAACAGAGGGGAGCACACAAGCATCATTTCAGAAATACCCCAGAGAGGAAGATGTAGTGGCTGGAAGAGGGGCACTAGGGGCTGCCACGCGCTGGTCACATCCCATGTCAGGATGTGGCCTGGTAGCTGCATGGGTGTGTTCCTTCTAGGAAAATGGACATAACTACACGTCCCTAGCATTAGCTGTCAATAAAAAAATGTTGAAAAACACTTCCCTATGACTGGTAAGGGTTAGAATGAAGAGAAGATGTATAAGTAAGTCCTGAAGAAAAAAGGCTGTATAGGGACAGTCACTATATCCTAATCTACAATTTTCAGAGTTGGGAAGGATTTGGGAAATTACCAAATGCTGTTGTGGACAGTTCTTCATGGAGGTGGCCCTTGAGATACTGACACCATAGGGCTCACAGGGCCCGGACTCTGTATTTGAGCCAAGTTCCTCAGGATATTGTGGTGTACACCCACCTGGACAACCCCAGGCAGGGTAAGTCTCCTGGCCCACTACACCTACCACACAAATGCCTGGCTGAAATCCCTGATATATTTTAATTCCACTACTATTTAATTCCACTAGAAATCTCAGTAAGTTCCTATAACTTGAAAAGTTTTATCAAAGCTTTTCTTTACTGGATTTTTCCAACATAGTTTAGATTTCATACTTCTGTCAGGAATGTTAGGTAGAAAGATAGACCACGAGCAGCTGGAAAAGGGGAAGAAGATAAGGCTCAGAGAAGAAGCCACCCAGATAAGTCTCAAAGAAAAACTCAACCAAACTCTACCCAGGGCTGGGGTCCCATGTGGAGATAACAAAGGCTTTGCAGGGAGGTGACTTCCTCCCCAACCAGACCCCAATGGGAGTACAAACAAACAGAAATAAGAACTGCACAAGTCACCCTCAGCACAGGGAAAGGACAGGCTCACTGAGAGGGATGGCTATGTAGAAACCTGTAAATCCCACCTTGTCCGTCAAAGAGGTGCCTCCCAGCCAGATGTCATACATAAGCCTCCTGCCTGACAGACAGGGGCCTTTGCCTACCTTGACTCTGGCCACCTCCTCCCTTAGAGTGTATTCAAATAAAACTTTCACTCTGCTTTGCTGTTGTGCTTCTGCCTTTCGATTCTTTCTTGCTGTGGGGACAAGGACTGAGGAGAACAAATGCAACTCATAACACGTCCACTACAGCATCAATACATGTGTTATTTATTATTTATTAAATAATGGCAGATGACAGATTCACAAAATACTGAAGCTGGAGGGCAACTAACCTTGTAATCATTTTAAAAGTGAGGAAATTGATACCAGAAATGTAACTTGTCAGAAGTTTCTAGAATTCAGTTCTTCTCTAGGTTAAGAAAGTAAACTCACTTTCTCCCACGTTTACTGTCTGACTAGATGAACTAATATGCCACACGTAATATTACTAGTTCATGACTTGTGTTCTTTCACGTATAATTCAGTTCATTGTGATTTCTATGAATATTTCTGTTAAACATAATTCTTGCTGAACCACAGTATGATGGCAAATGAAGACAACAAAAAAACCTTCACTGAATATATCCATCAAGTTGTTCTCTTTTTAATGTGTGGGTACATCATGTAAATTAAAGGGGAATTTAAGAAAACTTTTTAAGAAACAATAACTTTAGGTAGGTGATTATGAGGAAGATGACAATCATACAGGCCAAGGCCACATGATTTTTCCACAGGCCCCAACGTGAGATATCGATGCCCTGGCTTAGCAAAAATTCTTCACCAGTACATCTGAAATTCAACAGAAAAAGAATATAACTTCATCTTTACATCTGTCAAATTTTACTCAGTATATTCACTGTTTCTTAAAGAAGCCTATACATTACTAAGTCTGAAATAACTATCCCTTTATATATATAATAGGAAACAGCCCATGTGTGCTTACAATTCTGTTAGATACTATGCTAAGCAATCTGCATATAATTGTTTAGCTAATCCCTAAAACAACCCAATGGAGTAGATACTCTAACAACCCAATGGAGTAGATACTCTATACATGTCAAAGATGAAGAAAGTAAGGCTTAAAGAGCTTGGCCCAGTTCATGACTCACCCTTTCAACCCAGTTGCTAGCCTCTCCAAATTCATTTGTTTCCATAACTATAATGCTGCTCTCTTCAAAGGGCAGAAACATTTACCAAGCAATTTTTTATTCACTGTTAATTGGGGAAAAAAACCTCAGCTTTTGCATATGAATCTAAGGCCCTTATGCCTTAGATTATAGAACTCATTGCCCACAAATCAGTCACAGAAAAGAACATAGGCTAAGAATACTTCCTAGTTTCTAAAACTAGGAAGAGGTGAGGAAGGGCTTCCTCCCAGAGGTGCCCTCGGTCAGCTCTTAACCAAGACTGGAATGAGCATCGCCGTTGCTTGGCTACAGGACAGACACCACTAGCAGGCCTGTTGGCAAGCGGAAGGCTTAGTGGTAGCTGGAGTCAAGCAGGATGGAGTAGTGCTGCCAGTTTAGAAGAGCACCTGGTACTAAAAATACCTGGCACAGCCACAATTCTTGCCCGGTACCTTTATTACCTGGTATCTGGGAACTCTTGGAATTCAGTTGTTCAAAAATAAAGTCATACCCACATCAAAAGAGAGGGAGTATGGCCAACATAAAGGAAACGTCTCTCCATGTATGTTTTCTGTTAATACTGCAAAATAACAATCCATCCTATTACTAAGAATTATTTCTATTCTACATGGGTGTTCATGAGATTTAGGATACCAGCATTCTCTTTTCTCTCATTAATTAATGTATCAAAACAAACCACTAACAATTTTCAAAAAGGAGAGGTTATTCAATTTTTAAAACAACATCCTCTAATTTTATTAAAGTCTATATTTCTGTCTTAGTGACATGCAATAAAATGGGACTTCCTTCTCAGATTACTGAATAGGTGCTACTTTAGAGGATTTATCCTTTGATAAGGAATAGTCTAATCAATTTAAAAGAAAAAAATAGTAACAGTGAGGGCTTTGATTTCATGATGTCTTCTAAATGCAGAAGAGCAAAGTGCCAGAACTGTGGCAGGAATGTGTTCACTCTCTTTCCATCTTGCTGCCCCTTTAAGCTCATACACTGGCCATGGGTTGGGCTCACAGAAATCCGCAAGTTCATGGACCTAAATACTTCACAAAATCCATACTGATCAATTACTGTAAAGCCTTGCTACAATATCAAAGTAGCTCATTTCAAACTCAAATGTTCTAAAAATGAAAACTAAAACTCACAATCAAAACTGCAACAGGACCTTTTAAATGGCCCAAAACAAACAACACATAGGGAACATTTCCCCAGCATAAACAGCATTTGGGCTGCAGTAGAATGCCTAGGGGTTGTGACATACACGCAGCACCTTCACATGCATCAGGGTTACAGCTCCCTTCACAGCAAGAAAATTTAGGCTCAGAGAAGTCAGTGCCCCTGCAAGGACCCATGCCAGCTCTCTGCCCAGTGGCCTTGCTACATCACCCACAGTGGTGTAAGCAACCCCACCATGACACTGAACGCAGACTTACATGGCATAGCTACAGGTTCCATTTCTTGTTACATTGAGTCCTGGACAGAAGTTTAGTCCCAAAAATTCATTATGCCGCAAAGCCTAGCACACAAACAAGTCAAGGTAAGGGGTTTTACATTTCAAAAAGTTCCCAAAGGATTATCACAAATCACATCCTCTTCATTTAATCTTCATTATTATTTCTAAAAACAAACCAACCTCCACATTCAGTCTTCTTCGTCACACCAAAGCAGCTCAAACTATTTTCCCTGGCAATCTAGAGGACTACAGTTGGGATTCTGGCTTCTAATACAAAGGGAGTAAGGTATTGGCCAACGGAGGAGACTGCTAGCTGGATGACCCTTAGCCCCTTCCTTCTTATCTCCCCAGTTTGATAACCATATAAACTCTATAATTAAAATCATACAAGGTGGTACGTAATGACTATTGTTAATTCATGGTAACAATCTTTTATGTTGTTCCTGTTTGTCTTCATCAAAGCCAGTTACAGTTCTTGGGAATAAGGAACTCAACTCTACTATTTCAAGGCACAAAGCTTTCTTTGGAGTTGATTTTTTGCTTTCTAATGCCAATAATGTCTGTGAGCATCCTGTACTCTTTGTTTTTCTTCTAATTTTCCTTTCAATATAAAACATGTCTTCTAGCCTCCCACCCTCTCCTTTATTTCTTTACTGAACTGAAATGCAGCTGTAATTTGTCACATGGATCCGTCACCATGAGCCGTCTCCACCCTTCACCTCCCTCAAACAGGAGAGGAAACCCCAGGTGATGATTGAGGTGATCCCGGGCTTAATATGAATGCTCTTCCACGACCCCTAAACAGAAATTCCCAGACACTTGCACACTCATGGTCAGGAACATGAGATGGTTAGGCTTTCGTTCATTTGCTCCTAGCTTGGGAACTGTGAACCAGTCCCGGTGAGAGAAGAGAGAAACTCACTGTGTAGCCGTAGCAAGGAATGCTGAAGTACTGAAGCCACGAGAGCCAAGGCACAATGGTTCTGAGATTCACCAACAGCCCTGAAAATATCTACAGAGAGCAAATGCCAAGAGTCAGAACTGGTGGATGATTTCATGAAGAATTCCACAGAATACCCTCTTAAGTCCTCTACGATCATGTAAAATTTCTGCTAGGCCAACTCTTTCTTGAAATTCCTCCCAATTCTCAAAAGACTTATACCATACCTTCTTTGCATGTGTACACCTCGCTATAGCTAAGGCCATCTAAGGTTCTAAAGGAATGATAATATAGCTATAATAAATGTTTCATTTAATTAGAAGATCCTTAATTGTCAAGGCCTTTCCTTTCTCTGTAACTGCACACAATGGAAGGTCAAGAAGTACTTAATGTACTAATGATACAACCACTGTATGTTCCCACCAATAAACATACCAGCACATACCCTGAGCCTCTAATGCCCCTCTCTACTTCCACAGCACAGTAAGACTTGCTATTTAGAAGCATTTGCCTTCTATCTCTGTATGGCTTTAGGAATAATTTGGGGTTCAGATGCATGATAAAAATATCCCAAAGCCTGGAGTTAGTTCACAGTATAATGTGGTGAAGTATAGCATAAGATATGGTCAACACCCTCATTTAAAGCCCCCAAAAATCAGTTTTGCAGTGGAGCCCAGGAAGGACCATTCTAGCAAGAGACGGCTATGTGAGGGATGGTGCCTATAAAACTCCTTACTGGCACTAGGCAATCTGAGATTCACATAATGACATTGTGATGTGACAACATATTTTTAAAATTAATATAACCAAGTGCTTAAGGTATAACACACAGCACCTCTGAGTAAAGTATGGTTTTATGATTGGTTTTAAAAGTTCTGTATATAAACCTTTAAAAAATAATAAATCAAAATATCTAATATAGCAAATAAAACATTTTGACATATTGAGGGACATTTTCTTGAATAACATTATAGGAACTACATGCAAGGTTTATTGCATTCTCAGTAATGTTTAGATTTGGTGGTTTTCAAACTCAGAAATGGAAGAATTAAACTTTGTCAAGAGTCTGTGTTCATTATGTTCCTTTTAAAGACATCTACTCCTCCTAGCAGAAGTGACCATGTGTATCAATAGGCTAAGCACTCCTATTTACTGGATGTCATAGGGGGAAATGTGGTAACTGGCTCCCTTCACCTGTTGATATTCATTTATGTGAATGAACAATTTCGGAACATGAAGATGAAGTAACTGTTTAAAAAAAAAAAGTAAGTAAACATAAACTGATAAAAGAGAATGTCAGGAGCCCAGAAAGGAGGGGAGCAAATACTGTGCAGACTTTGGAATTTCTCAGTATTTTTAAAACAGCCCTTTTCAAAGAACAGGAGGAACCCAAGACAGACCAACCATGCCCCATGCTGTTGCAGTTCTCACATGGCTTAGCTTTTTCCATGCAGAGTGGCGGACACACAGCCAAACCGTCTCGGCCACTGGAGCTGTTCTCCAGCACCAGCACAGAAGCCAGGCAGGTAACCTGTTGTTTTTATGAGAGAATCTTCTACTCAAAATTCCTCTGGTTTTTGAAGTACCAATTTAATCCAGAGTTTACAATATGTCACCAAGAAGCATCTTTTAAAAGCTCATTTGTGACAACATGTTAACTAAAGTTATAGTAATAACTATATTAGAACAGTAGCAAAAAAGGCTGGGTAAGGTCAAGGAAAAGCAGGTACATTCTCTGATACAAGCTGTACCTCAATGTACAGCCCCCTTAAAGCAGAGTCCTCTTTACATAACCCTCAAAGCAGGTTTTACATGATAGGTGAATTTGCAGGAAGAAACCAGAGGAAATAATTACTTCTCAGAGAAGCACAGTTCCTACTCACCATCATAAACACAAAAGAGATGGTTGTAAGAAGTGTTGCTACGGACACCACACTCTGCCCTGCTGCTATGGCCAGTGCCATGGAGCTGGCTGAGTAAGCCACCATCATAAGGGTGAACATCATGATGAAGAAGGCATCTACCACTGGTTTCAATCCTTAGGAAGAAAAGTGCAGGTTAATCCAACTGTCTAGGTCACTGTGTGTTGGTGGCTGTTTATTGTGCAAACAGCACTATAATATTCTGAGAAACTAGTATCAGAATGAAAAAGTCATCTCTACCCAGCTACCCTGGGTCACCAATTTCATTGTCCTCCTCACCTGCCAAAACTGCATAAAGCTATTGTACAGTTTTCTTTTTATACTTACTGCAGAAAATAGTATTTTTCTTTTTATACTTACTGCAGAAAGGTATTTCCATGTAATACCTATGCTCCTTTATGTGTAACTATTTATGTAAGATTATGCATGTTCTATGTATACATATACATATGCATGATACGGTAACAATTTCTGAGCACCTGAGATGGAGAGCTGCAGGCAACAAAACTAGCCAGAATTCTACTGCCTTCTCTTCTAAGAATGGAACTTGTCAAAAGCACATTCATTTCACCCAGACATCTCCATATTACTCACTCACTGTTTGCGATAACTGCATTAGTTGAAGAGACTAAAGAAAATCAGGTTACATGACCTCCAGTGGTTTTAATATCAACTGGGGCAGCATATCCATGATCCAAATCTCTGAGACAAATCATCTTATAACTCTGGGATTGAGGGGTGGGGTTAAATTATGTTTCATAAAGCTACTTCATAAACTCTAATGGGCTAATATTATGGGTCATATAACCTGACAATTTTGGAACAGCCACAAGAATACCAGTCAGGAGTCTGAGGATCTACATTCTACGCTTAATTCTTTTTCTTTTTTTCTTTCATTTTTAAAGATGAATAGATGGTTGGTGGTGAAGGAATTGACAAAATTTTTGTGAAAGAATAACAAAAAATAGATGGAAAGTGTAATTTTACCAATCTTATCCTTCAAAAATTACTGTCAGTCTGCTCCTGTCTTCCTACAGTCTTTTAAAAAAATGCATTGAAGTATAGTTGACATAATATTATATTAGTTTCAGGTGCACAACATAGTAATTTGACATTTATATACATTTCAAAATGCTTACCATAGTAAGTGTAGTTACCATCATCACCATACAAAGTTACTACAATGTTATTGACTATACTCCCTATCCTATACTTTTTATCCCCATGACTTACGTATTTTATAACTAGAAGTTTGTACCTCTTGATCCCATTCACCCATTTTGCCCAAACCCCCATCCCTCCCCTGTGCAACCATTAGTTTGTGTTCTGTATTTATGAATTTGTTTCTGGGTTTTGTTTCTGTTGCTTGCTTGTTCTGATTTTAAGTTTCACATGTAAGTGATGTCGTATAGTCTCTGTCTTTCCCTGTCTAAATTATTTCACTTAGAATAATGCCTTCAAGGTCCATCATGTCATAAGTGGTAGGATTACCCTTTCTGTGGCTGACTAATATTCCATTGTTTTTATATGTACTGCCTCTTCTTTATTCGTTTACCTTTTGATGGAAATTTGGGTCACTTCCAAATCTTGGCTATTGTATATAATTGTGCTAAGTCCTTTATGCCACAACTCTTGTAAAATGGAAGTTTCAACTCAATCAATGGATCTTGTCCTATAGCGCTTTGTCAAAAATATATATTTCGTGTGTGTGTGTGTGTGTGTGTGTGTGTGTCAGTGAAACATGGAAATTCTGATGCAATAAGCCTGATGACGCCTAAACACAATGCACAAATGAATCTGTGTATACCTAACACACAGTATTTTTATTAAACCAATTAAGCTCCTTTCACTATCTTTACACACACATACACACATAAATAAAAATAGATAAGTAATAAATATCCCGCTGTAGCTCCTCCAGCATAGTCTCAAGTAGTGTTATGAATTATTTCTATTTATATATGATACATAGCATCTCTCAGTAAAATATAGTTCTAGGAATAGTTTGAAAAGCTAGTTTGGGAATAGTCTTGACAAAAATGTCCTGAGAAAACAGCTCTCTCAGAGCGTGCACAATGAATAGGTGCTTCCTTATCTCACGGCTTGGCTTATAGCTTTGAGAACCAAAAAGATCTTGTAAAAAGAAATTGACTTCCCCTTATACCTAAGACTACAGATACATACATTTTGTCTTATTGCTTACCTAACAAGAAGTATGTTATACAAGTAAATATAATACTTGGTAATAGCCTCATAGGTAGTAAATCAGATATCAGTTTTCCAAAGAAATAAGATGACACTCTGTAGTATCCACTGATATATTCATGTCTAAAAAACAAAAATTCATCCTTCATTAGTTTAGGAAGGCAGAGACCAGATTAGACTGCTTGCTGTATAGACTTCTGCTGCCACCAGGGATCTAACAACTATAGCTTCTCACACGCTCAGAGCTGACCCACTGCCCTTTATGCCGGTCAGCAGCGGGCACCGTCCTGGATGTGAGCCTCCCCTGGGACGGCAGCCCCAGAGCCCCCTGCAGCACCCTTCCTTCCTCCTCGGCAGACCTCCCTCCCAATGCCATCCACTCTGCCTCCTGGTGAGGAGGTTCTGCATCTGTCCTCCAACAGGCTCTCCTTGGAGAGCAGCACTTTAGTAATAATAGAGGCTTTTCTTTCTTCCCATTTCTGATTATGAGAAGATGGTGTTGCCCTTCTCCGAGGCTCCCAGTGTAGCTTCAGATCACTAAATTCTTCTTCCACTCTCATGGTAAAAAAATAAAACAACATTTCTTCCTTTGACAAACATGCCTTCCAAACACACATCCCTGCCAGTTTTTTAAATTTTCTCTCCTCTGATCAGCCCTACGGCTCTTCCTCTTCCTGGTATATTCCTCCTGTAATTCCAGATTCTTCCACCAACATCTTCATTCTTTCCCTCTCAAATGATTCTTTTCCTCAGCATGTAAAGATGGGCAAATCACTTTCCACTTTGAAAAACACAAGAAACAAAACAGCCCACACTTAATTTTAAGGCTGCCTCTGGCCATTTGCATTATTCTCTTCACTGAGGGCTAAACTGGCCACAATCTTTGTCAACTCTACCTCCCCACCTTAAATTTACTGTTCAACCCACTACATTCTCTCTACCAAGCCCCTCAAACTTTTTTTGGAGAAAGTAATCATGATTTCTTACCTGCTAAAAACAAAAGATCCTTTTCAGCCTCTCTATTGCTTGCTTTCTCTGCAGCATCTAGATTTGCTGGCTATGCTCTCATCTTGAAACTCCTTTTCCCCTTGGTATCGGCCCCACAAGCTCATGATTTCCTCCCAGCCTCCAGCTGCTTTTCCCAATTAATGTTGGTAATCCCAGGAACCAGTCAGTGGCCCAAATCTAGCTGCCCCAGTATAACCAGCAGTCCCTGATCCTGGACAGCCGCCTCCCCAGAATAGAGACCTACTCACATAAAAAGCTTCTTCTCCACAACGAAGAGCTCCACAGCTGACACGCTGCTGAAACACTGGTTGGTTGTCAGGAAGAAAAGCACCCCAGATCTGTGAGGAGAGAAAGGGAGAAAGGCACTGCCATCAATTCAAACTCTTTCCTCAGATGATACCTTATCAGTGATAAACAGACAACTGTCCTAGGTACAACAGAGAGGGTAGAAGGAGCCCCATCATCCACCATGGTACCCTTCGACTCCACAGAGTCCCATTTGAAGTTCATGGTCTTGGTTAGCTATGGATTGAAGTGTCCTCCCCAAATGCCTATACTGAAGCCCTGCTGCTCAATGTGATGATGTTTAGAGATGATGTCTTTGGGAGGTGATTAGGTTTAGATGAGGCCATGAGGCGAGGCCCTTAGAAGCACAGGAGAAGCATCAGAGCTCTCTCTCCGCCATGTGAGCGCCCTCTGCGGGCCAGGAAGAGAGCCCTCACCAAATCTGACCATGAAGACCTGGCCTCCAGAACTGTAAGAAATGTAAACAACACATATAACCCCCACAAAAGGAAGAGTCTATAGACACTCAGTAACTGTTTTTATTTATTTTTTTCAGTAATTGTTTTTAACACATAAATAAAAACAAAGAAACAAACAAATAAATAACTTAGGGAACAGGCTGTCCTAAAAGTAAATGTTTATACAATATTTATAACAGAAAATAGCAGGGCCTAGGACACAAGCATCTATGCAACTTATCTGCATACAAGCCTAATGTCCAAGTAAAAGCTCATTTCAGAAACATGGACATGGCAACAGTTCTGCTCCTGCTGTTAAGCCCCATATCTAACAGTACAGTAGTTCATCATGATTCTGAACTAGCAGGTGGTAACATTCCTACTAAATTGTAAGATAATTTATTTTATAGCAAATACAGTTTTTATTGTTAAAGAATTTAATGTATTCTAATTCTTTCCCATGTGGTAATTCATGTCTGTAATATCTACTTACTGATACAAATACATTTATTTTTAAATACATTTTCTCTTAATATACATTACTCTGTTTAGCTATCACCGCCTTGTAAGGTAACTGTTAGGTCAAATAAGCTCATGCTCTACACAGAATTAAAACCCAGCTTGTTGGTTACAAGTCAAAGAAGAGCAAAGAGGGTGTCTTTTCGGATAACTCATTCCCAAAGAAGAGAGCTAAACTATTGCAACTTCCTGCATACTCTTCAATTTCAAGTGATGGAAAAGAGGAAGCAAGCTTAAGTCAAAACTACAAAGTAAAATAAACTCAATGCCATGTTTTTCCAAAAATCATTTGAAGAAATAGCTAAAGCTCTTCTTTATTTCTCTGGATTCTTCTACCAAGAACTTTAATGGCTAGAATTCCAGTTGAGGACAGAGTTCACATTTGTTTTCCTAAATATTTCCCCACTGCACAAAACAAAAGATCCACAGCCTCTAGATCCTGTGATAAATATTCTGTGTTTAGTGAAAATATGGCATCTACAGGGAGAACAAACCATAAGTTACTAGCAAGTCTGAAAACAAGCCAGAGAAGAACACAGCCCTCAGAGAAGGTGAAGAGAAAACCAGAATCCAAACTCTGGAAATGAGCTTTGCCATAATCATCTCATTGCAGAGTGCCACCATCTGATTCTACACAGGAGAGATGTCATGTTACCTGACTGAGGAATTGACTTCTATGCTTATTCTTTCTCTCATGCAATCAGCCTTCTCCAGACATTAAAATAGATTCCACTTATGCTAACTGCAACTTTCCTCAATACTACAATGGGGACACCACTGCTCACCACTCTGGGCAGGAGGGAACCTGAGACAGTGGCTTCCAGCTCAGAGCCCTCAGTCCACAAGCACAAGGAGAACTCTGTGGTCTTGAGCATTGCTGAGCACCTGTGTTCAAGAGCATACCAGAGCCCATTACAAAATCTCAGCATGAAACAATAATTTCAAGGACACATTATGACTGAAACCAGATAAGGTACAGTAACATAAGAGTTAACCATGTAAAAGTTATTAAAAAAAGCCCCATCCACCTCCCCACATCAAACAAATCAAAAAATAGAAAGGAAATTAACTCAGGCAACAAAGAAAAAAAAATAGATAAACTCTATTATGTCAAAATTTAAAACTTCTTGTGCATCAAAGGACATGATCAACGGTGAAAAGATAACCCTAAGGAACACTTACAACAATAGAAAAATCTAATTAAACAATAGGCAAAGGAGTTTTAATAGACAGTTCTTCAAAGAAGATAGACAAATGGCCAATAAGATGCTCACATTAAAAGATGCTCAAATCACTAATAATTAAGGAAATGAAAATCAAAACCAGTGAGATACCACCCTCACATCTATTAGGATGGCTATTATTATATAAATAAGTAAAAGGAAAAAAGCAGAAAATAGTAAGTGTTGGTAAGGTTGTGGAGAAACTGAAACCCTTGTGGACTGCTGATAGGAATGCAAAGTGGTGCAACAGCTACTGTATACAACAGGAATGGTGGTTCCTCAAAAAATTAATAGAATTGGCCAATGATCTACTAATTCCACTTCTGGGAATCTTCACCCAAAGGAATTTAAAGCAGAGACTCAAACACATATTTATTTGTATACCCACATTATCAGCAACATTATTCACAACAGCCAAAGGGAGGAAACAACCCATTTATCTATAGACAGATACCGGGATGAACAAAATATGGTCTATCCATACAATGGATTACTCAGCCTCTAAAAGGAAAGAAATTCTGACACATGCTACAGCTGGACGGAGCTTGAAGACATGTTAAAGGAGATAAGCCAGTCATCAAAGGACAGACACATGTGATTTCACTTACATGAGTACCTGGAGTAATCAAATTCAGAGACAGAAAGTATAATGGTGGCTTCCATGGGCCGGAGTAAGGGGGAATCAGAAGTTAGTGTTCAGTGGGTACAGAGACTCAGTTTGGGAAGATGAAAGAAGTTCTGGAGATGGATGGTGGTGATGGTTGCACAAGAATGTGAATGCAATTAATGCCACTGAACTGTACACTTAAACTGGTTAAGAGGGTAAATTTTATATCTGTATAGTTGACCACTATATATATATATATGAAAATTAACTCCCCTACTCAGCTTTCAATTCGACTTACAAACTACTCCTCAGTTTACCCTGTACTTGTCTCAAATTCAAATTCTTAATGGATTTTCATAAGCTTGAAAAAAATGACAGCACTTTCTCAAAATCAAGATCCAAATGTACTTACCTATTCTGGATTCCTGTAGGATCACTTTTTAGATCATAGAAAATGGCACCTATAACCAATCCCAGGATGACTGTTAAAATGAGCTTTCCAAAAAGAAAGGAAAAAAAGGGTTTCATTTAGAGGTAAAAAGTTTAATATACCATTTATTATTATATATAGATACATAATCAAATCTCTCCATTGAAATAAATACTTTAAATGGCTTGGCCAAAGTCCTTGAGAGAATATGAAACAGTGTATGCTATTAGATTGTTTTCTAAATTAAAATTAAAAATAACTTACTGTATGTAAGAGACTGACAGGGGAACAAAAGCAGAGCACTGGCAAGCTAAGATTCCTCCCAGTGCTTCACTACGTACTGCTGACTCAGGGTCCGGTGCAGGCTCCCGGCCTGGGAGTGCCCTGCAGAGCAGCAGGACAATACAAGTGTCCAGCAAAGTAATTTGAGGAATAAAATAAAGTCCAAGGGTTGAACCCTGGCCTGAACTCTCAACCATTGTACTGGTAAACATGCAGTTTTATATGTCAAGAGGCTATCTTTACTCTTAACATTAAAAATAAATTAAAATGAACAAAATCTGTAAAGCACACATTAAAAAAATTTCTAACAATGGAATTTTGCATGATAAGGAAGTAAGGAAGTAGGGTTAAGGGGGCTGCCTATCTATCCACCTCAGAGAACCCATGCCTGCAATGGGAAACTGCATTGTCCCTGTCACCATTCAGCCAGCTTCTCCTGAGGGCACCCAAGCACCTGCATGACTCATTCTGCTGTCACTGCTTCTCCATCAATACCCTCCCCCACCCCCACCCATCAGGACTACAGCCGACAGCATAGACCTTCCAATCTTTCCTCCCTCACTCAGCCTGTTTGAAGACTCCTAAGAACACTGGATAAGTATTACTTTTGTTTTTAAGATTAATAAAATAAATGTCTCTTAAGGACACTTCTGTAAATGAAGGGTTGGGGATTACACTATGATATAATTTATTTAAGAAAATTCTACTTAATGTACTTTTGAAGTAAATATAAAAATAGAAGAAATAATAATCTAAAGAAAAACTATTCCACATGTACCTTGGAAATTTCAAAGTTAAAAAAAATAACATCTCAGTACTACAACAGTGCAATGGTATTAAGACCTGAAGCAACTTTTTCCAATTATACTTTTAGCATGAAACAAACCATACTGGAAAATGGGCTCATGATCTGTGAAGGCTTGTACGTGAAACTCTTAGTCTGGAGGGAATATGATTTAAAATGTCCTTAAAAATTCCCTTGCTAGTAAGATCGTTAGAAACTTGAAAAAATATCTATTAGCCTGGCATATTTTAATTCCCCTCAGAATATATTGTGCTTCATGTCAACAGATCAAGCTTCCAAAATAAATGATGATGACTCCATTAACATATGTTTATGCACATGTACACAAGTCTATACTTTTACACAGTGTAAGAATATTCAGACTTTTAAAACTGGGCCCCCACCCCCATGCTTTGTTTTTTTCTGCATTCAAACTTGGTTATCAACAGACCGATGCTGGTATTATCATTAGGATGTTTCCTAAAGGTTTTTAAGTTTTAAGGTTTTAAAGTTTGAAGTTCTAAATGGATTTTTCAAAGTCAGCTTTTAAACATACTTATAAAGCGATGTATCTTGTAATTTTGTCATGCTTTTCCAAGGCACATCTATGTTATTCTTTCATTAAGGGAAAGAAAACAGGCAAACTAAACTTTACTCAACAGAGCACTCAGAGAGACACTGTCGACGAGCTGTATGCGTCTGGCCTCTGTTTTGAACAGAAGGAAAGAAAAGAAATTCCCTAAATATGCTGTTCTGTCTTCATTCATTTCTCAAGCTGAGTTCTGAGGGGTGATTACAGCCAGCCATCACTAAACAGAATTCATCCATAGTCAAATGTTAAATATGTTAATGGAAACAATGAATCTCCAAGAGATAGATATAAGTATTTTCCAACCTGAATTGACCAGGAAATCCCTGGCATGTTAAATGAACATTAAATCTTCTTCTACAGATAATCCATTCATTTCAAGATATTCCAAGCACAACCACTAGTTAAATGCATTATCAGAAGCAAAGTCTGAATCATGTTAATAAATAGCTCAAAACTAAGTATGGCTATAAGACTACCAATACAAGATTAATCTGCAGGAAGTCATACAACATTTTAATAGCTCCACATGCAGATACTTAGAGAAGTAAATGACATACATACAAGATTAAAAACACTAAACCAGAGGTCAGCAAGCTTTGGCCCACAGGCCAAACAGGGCCTGTTGCCTATTTCTGTTCACCCCATGAGCCAAGAACAGTTTTTACCATTCTTCATTAATGGTTGAGAAAAAGAGAAGAATAATATTCCTTGCCCATGAAATTCATATAAGATTCAAATTTCAGTGTCTATTAATAAAGTTTTATTGGGACACAATCATGTATACTTATTTATGTATTATCTTATGGCTGCTCTCTCACTAAAATGGCAGAGTTGACTACCTGAGACATAGACCACATGGCCTGCAAAGCCTAAAGTATTTACTATCCAGCCCTTTACAAAAGAGGTTTGTCTGCTCCTGTCCTAAGCTAACATTCCAGTATTTATAAATCTGAACAAGAATTGCCCCCACCCAAGCCGATGCCCTGAGAGATTCAAGGTTCTGTCATTATTCTATGATCAATGCCACTGGACATTGTTTGGATTCCTTTGTGGAATGGAGTTCACTGAGGAGGCATGCAGGCTGGATGTGCAACCTGAAGGCAGTGGCCTGAGGTTTGCCCTGAAGAAAACCTAGCACCAGAGGCAGAACTGTGGTGTGTCAGAAACAGGTCCATATTCTGGACTGCTTCTACATCCCAAACAGAGGGGTGTCAATAAATGGAAGGGTGGGTATGAGACAATCATAATCCTGTATTAGATCATGTCAGAACTAGTGTTCCCACATGAGCATTTCACAGCCTAATATGAAGAATCTGTCAGTTTACCTGAGCTACAGAGGCCTGGGGATTACCCAGTAAGTTTTTGAATGAACGCTTAGAAATCCATCTGAGTTGATGACAGAAGGAGGTAGCATAGGTGATCTCCTTGAAGGCTGGGCTCTTCTTTTTCTGATGCCCTGAGAGTTGATCTAACTCAACTTGTGTTTCTCTGAAGAAGGTGGAGCGGGTATAAAACTCAGCTAATTTTTCTATGAGTGGAGTATCTCCTGTGGAAGACTCTTCAGTCTCTTTGGCTTTGGAATAAATGTGGATAAAAAGGGAAAGATCATGAACAATAACAACTGAGTCAGCCCATTTTCCTGTAACTTCTTTGTTGGATTCTTCTCTAATACCTTAACTCTAAAGTTTGAGTAAAAATTATTAGACCTGTCAATTGCTCTACACATTAGAATTCTGATTCTAAAGTGTTAAGTATAAAATTCTTATTTCTAAAAATTGAATATTAAAAGTGATTAGATCTGTCATTGCATTACACATTTTAAAAATATAATTAACTGGCCTATTTCCATAAATTTATGGGTACAGCAAACCTCTAACCTTTTCCTAACTATAATTTTTGGTCCCTAATTCTTTTTAAATAGACTTATCTTGGGGAACTGTCATTCCTAATAGAAAAATTTGGTCCTTGCTTTCTTCTATGTGCAAATACATAAATTACCAAGTTTCTTATTTCAAAACACTACAGAAACATGAGCATTTTAAAAAATGGAAACCCCCCTTGGAAGTGACACTAGCACATAAATGTTCACTTATACATTAAATAAAAAAACACAACACTCATGGACAAAATCTATATTGACTGGTGCTGTAGATTAAATATTTGTACACCCCAAAAATTCATATGCTATAATCCAATTCCCAATGTGGCAGTATCTGATGGTGGGCCTTTGAGAGGTGACAAGGTCATAAGGGTGGAGCACTCGTGAATGGAGTTAGTACCCTTTATGAGAGGCCCCAGGGAACTTGCTCCCCACTGCCACCATGTGAGGAGGCAATGAGAAGATGGTAGGCATCTCTGAACCAGGAAGTGGGAAAATTCTAAACAGACACCACATATGCCGTCACCTTGATCTTGGACTTCCCAGCCTCCGTTGGTAAACCACCTATATAGCACCCATGGACTAAGACAACTGGTATCAGAGGACAGCATTAACATAAATTCACACTACCACATTTTAATGACCTACCACATTGCACAACTTTAGCCAATTCAAGCCCGCAATAATCTGTGACTCTCAACAGATGTGCATACCTTCACCATCTTGGTTCTCCCTGTTTAATACCACAGCAGAGGAGTCTCCATTAATGATGTCCAGGAAGAAGTCTGCAGGATTATTATAGGCCTCACAGTGGTAGCCTACAAAAGAAAGCAACTCAGGCACACAAACTTGATGGTCTTGGACAATAAAGACATACTTTCTGGGGACAAGATTGTGAGGCAAGGGGAAATAGAAGAATCTAGTGATTTCTCCATCTTCTTTCTCTCTCCTCCCCTCACTAATTTTTCCTTTCTTCTTATATATTCAGTAACACAATATTTCAGCAATTCTGTCTCCTGGCAAAACAACATACTCCAAACCAATTTTGGACTCTCAGAAAGTTTTACATGACTGCTTGGTCTTTATCTGTCACAAATCATGAGCCCTGAAACAGCTATCAACATGCACTGGTGCTTATCAGAACTTCATCAAAAATCTAAATAGAGGTCCAAGAAAAAAATATATTAAGTTGAAAAAAAACTTGCAACGAGGACACTAGGACTAGTGATCCTCAAAGGGCAGTTAAGGCACAGTTTAGGAGAGACCCTGGGCACCTTCTGTCCTCCAAGTTTACCTAAGGACTGCCAGAACATCAGTACCAACTTCAGCAATAGTTGCCTCTGCCCCCTACTAAATTCAGGTCCAGATGATCATCTGTTATGCTGCTGTAATTCCTATATAGAGAACAAATCACCAAAGCACCATTCTTAAGGGACCGTAACTGGCAGGGCACGCCTGAGCATTTACCTCGACTCCTTGCGGCATGATCATCTGAACTCAAATTGGCCTGTAGTCTGACTCTTAAGTTCAACTCCCCTGAACTCTCTGGACCTCTATGTGCTTGTTAATTTTAAATAGCAGAGATTTAACAAAAACAAATATTAAAAGATGTCTAGTGAATATTTAAAACTATATTTGTGGTCATGGAGCATCATTTATAATTATATCTAAATATCTCTAAAATGAAGTTGAATCATTAAAAAAATTACATATTTCCATTTTGAATAGAACCAGATAGTCCAGAACTGTCAGGAATTTTGGCATATCAAAGTCAGACTTACCAGTAGTCATCCTATTGAGTGGTAAGTTACTCATATCCACTCAAGGCCTAAATCTGCAATCTAATATTACTAGAAAATTCAGTAGCATCTCCATGAACCCTCACCAAGGCCAACATCCCACTGAAGAGGAAAAACTGATAAAGCTTGAACTATAATATAGTCAAGAAGACAATCTGGGGACATTAGGCCTTTCCAGAAACGTTGGACTGATAGATAACTGGCCATGAGGCCAATACATATATAAAACTATTAGGGAAAGGTCACTAGAACTGGGAAGCAGAACAGAGACAGGCCCAGTAGATATAAATACTCATAACACACATGCATGCATGGTTACCAAACAGGACAGGAAAGACACTTAAATAAAAGTGCTGCAAGATGAAGAAAAATTCTAGCACCAAACTAATCAAAATGTTTTGGAGTAGGGGAACCCCTGGTATGTCTGTTCAAAGAACAAACAGCACTTCCATCAACCAACTTTATTTTCTTTTAGGATTCTATTAGTGAAGGATCTTACTGCATGAAAAAGTCAATCATACCAGCTGATGAAAAGTACCCTAAAGCCTCCTGAGCAGGCCCATGGAACATTAATCTTCCTGAGGCCAACAAGGTCAGGCTGTCAAACAACTTGAAGATGGAATAACGAGGTTGATGAATGGAGAAGATGATTGTTCGTCCCTGTTTAGACATCCTAAGTTAAAAGGGAGAAAGTAACAACACATCATTAAACATCTGAAACTTGCACTTCTTGGCAACATACTTTTTTTCTGCCTTTAGATCATTTGTTCCTAGTTCAAAATTTGATTTTCTCCTATGAACTTCTCATCTCATATTATGTGCTTGACAGTCAGGGGACCTAAATTCAATGTTTTTATGAAACACCAGGGTTTCTAAAGTGTGTGTCATTCTATTCAAACTATACACACACACACATATGCAATATTTATATTCACATGTTCACAGTTATTTCCTAGGTCTGTCTGCTAGGTGGACCTAGAAACAGTGAAACTCCAGTAGCAGAGAGCACAGTAAGTAATCGAATCTTGGTTTGTAAATCATAACTTTGCTGAAAGGAATCAGAGCTCCTTAGAGAAGCATCTGACACAGGAAAAGTATAATATAAGTCTGGAACATATTGAAGTAATGCTTGAAGAATGACTAAAGACATGTCAAAATGACAGGAAAGCCAGGCAGCAGGGGTTCCCACTGGCCAAATCAGAAGTTAATCTGGTCATAAAAATAAATAAGAATAACAGATTATATATTGAATAAAATAAGAACGTGACAAAATATAAATGAAGAGAGAAGGAGGGAAACTTCTTTACAGTAGAATGCCAACTAATACATGTAAAAACAATGATGTAAATAGAAAACCACCACTTGGCAACCATCACACTAGTTGATACAGGCAGGAGTTGTTAGTATATGCTAAAACTGATGGGTAGAGATTTGATGTGGAACAGGATATGGGCATGATATCCAATTATTTCTCCAACAAAATATTATCAATTACAAGGGAAAAAGTTATCATTTCACAGCAGATAAACCCAGAAGACACCAACATAAACAGGTGATCAGGTGATAATGGTTAATACTGCCCATGGTAGGAGAAGTTAAAATCATGTACGCCTGTGTTTTGCACGGAGCACACTACATTACTTCTGTGGTGTTCCTGACAAGAAGTCATGAGGAAACGCTGGATGGATCCAGGATGATGGCTGCTCTGCGACATATACTCTTGAAGATGCACAAGGACATGAGAGGCAGGTGAAGACCTAAGAACTGTTCAGGATTAAAAAAGATAAGAAGGATTGTTTCTGGAAAGACTCTTAAGCCAAAAGAGAAAAAGAGACACTTCTGGGACAGCTGGTGAAGTCTGACTGAAGTTGACTGGGTGGTGGCGATGGCATCAGTGGTGACTTCCTAGCTGGGAGGTGTGCAAGGTGGCCATGTAGGACTGGCCTTGCTTTTTGTAGTTACACTCCTGAGTATTTAAGGGTGATGGCACATGATGTCAGAAAAAGATTATGTGGGGTGGAGGTATGGAGAGAGAGCAAATGCAGTTAAAAGGTAACATTGGGGAATCTAGGTAAGTGGACATGTGATTTCTCTACACTGCTCTTGGAACTCTCCTGTAAGACTGAAACCCAGAAACACGTTCCTCCCAGTCTTCTTTCTTGATGTAAGTATATACCATTCTTTACCCCATTCTTCTATTTTCTAAGTCCCAAATCTTAGAAGTCATTCTCTCAATAATCATACCCATGTACAAGAGAGCTGATCATGTTGATTCTATCTTCAAAACAGATCCAGAATCTACCCACTTCTTTCCGCCTCACCACTACCTTCCTAATCAAAGCCAGCATATCTCAACTAAGCTAATGCAAAGAAGCCTCCTGGCTGGCTTCCTTGGACTAACCCTTTCTCGACTTAGAGTCTTTTCTGTACACAGCTGCTGCTCATCTGTTCTAAAACTTTCTTACAGTCACGTACAGGGTCCATATAATCTGCCACCCACTCAGTTCTAGCTTGTGTGCTATTCTAATTGTCCTAGACTGAATTGTGTTCCAAAGAACTCCTGATGAAGTCCTGACCCTCAGCATCTCAGCGTATGACTGTACATGGGAGACAGGATCTTTTAAAGAGATAATTACAGTTAAATAAGGTCATAGGGGTCCAATATGAACAATATCCTTATAAAAAGAACAGATTAGAACACAGTCACACCAAATGAAGTGAAGACACAAGGAGAAAACGGTTACCTACAAGCCAAGGACAGAGGCCTCAGAAGAAACAATTCTGCTGACACCATAATTTTGGACTTCAAGCCTCCAAGAATGCAAAAAACTTAATTTCAACTGTATAAGGCACCCAGTCTGTGGTATTATGTTATGGCAAACTGTGCAAACTTATCAATAAGCAACTCCTATTTCTCTCAGGTCACTGGGTTCCAGTCCCTCTGATCTCTTTGGTGCTCTAAACACATCGGACATGCTCTGCCCCAGGGCCACTGACTGCTGCTCCATTGAGAAGTCTCTTCTACCAGATAGCCAGGTGTCACTCACTTGCTCCCAATCCAAACATCACATCATTGAGGTCTCCCCAGACCATCCAGCTATATGATATAGTACCCCCACCCCCACTACAGGTTTCTTTCACTATATTCTTATCCTGCTTTATTTTTCTTGAATCACTTATATCGCCTAATGACTGTTACCCTCCAACAAAGAAGGAAGAAGTATTTGTCTGCTGTGCTCTTTCCTGAATCCCCTGCACCATGAATAATAACATGTACACAGCAGGTGACCAGATATTGGATGAATCAAAGAATCGTGTTCCCACTGCATTTACCTCTTCAGGAGCAGAAGGACAGCACTCGCCGTGCTGGAGTCTAAGCCAGTTGTTGGTTCATCCAGGAATAAGATGGAGGGATCAGTGATAAGCTCCAACCCAATACTAGTCCTTTTTCTTTCTCCTCCAGACACGCCTCGGATAAACTGAGTTCCAACCTAAAGCACAAATACTGTCATTATTAATAAAGACAACCATAGCCACCAACATTAGTTGACCTTCTAACACATACCAACCATGGAAGAGGCACTTTATCTCACTATCTTCATTTATTCTGAACAACAAATAAATGGCTATCTGGGGAAAGAGGTTTCTCTTTATTTAGATGAGTAAACTGAGGCTCAGGTTAGAGCTATTGTGGATAAACCTGATATGAAATCCCTGTTTTTGACAGTCCTTTATGTTCCCTGTCAAAACAAATACCTAGTTTTAAAATAAAGTTTGAACACTAAAAGACATGGCCTAACATAGTGAAATCACAGACCAAAAAGGGGGTTAAGACAGGAGAGGAAAAGGTGAAGGCATCTATAAGTCATTAGTCTTCTTATACTCTCCCCACTGCCTCTCCACCAAAAGTCCTCAGTGAGCCTTGGCAGCTAGGACAGTTCACTTTCTACCACACTACTTTAGCACATCTTAAATCACCTTACAGCTTCCCAAACTGACCCTGTCTATGCCCTAACTCACTGCAGAATTCCCGACTCATTATTTCAGACAAATCCAAAAAGCAGAATATTCTACAGGGCAACTGGCTCAGTCTTTTTAACTATTCGATGTCACTGTATGTGGTGGGGGAGCAGAAAGGTATTGGGGGAGGCAGGACACAATTCTTATAGTACGAGTCTTCAAAGAGATAATAAGTGCTACTCATGCTCTTGATGGGATCCTATAACAACTGGAGAAATGTGAATGAATATGGGATTGACATACCTGATGTTAAGATATTGTTAATTTTATTAGTTGATAATGGCATTGTGGCAATGTAGGCAAATGTCTTTTTATTCTAATGAAAAATAAGTATTCAGGATTGAAATATCATCAGTATTTATAACTTTCTTTAAAATACTTCAGGAAAAAAAGGAGTAATTATAGAACAATAACTAGGAAATCTAGGTGAATGTTATTAGTTATCTTACCATTATATTAATAATACTACAGTGAAAGCATTACTACAGCAATCAGAGTATTCTTTCAACTTTTCCATTATGTTTAAAATTTCACAAAAAGCAAAAATTTTTAATGTACTGTTTCAATCAATTACATAAATAAATTATAAGTCAACAACTATTATAAATCAGTGATAATTTAATAATAATAAAAAAAAGAGGTCAACAACCACCTTCAGCTTATTTCCCCTGGAAATCCCTGCAAAGAACTTAGGACAATGACTGCCTCTAGTAAAGAACTTTTCCCTAAAGAAAAAGAAAGGAAATATGGGAAAGACAAAATCAAATAAACAGACCCAAAGCAAGGGTGGTGAAGGGAGGCATTTCAGAGTTGTTCTTCCAAATAAAATATAACAAAATACACTGTATGTAAAGGAACGTCAGAAAGAATCATAGAAAGCAGCAGCCAGCATTAACTCTAAGAGATGTCACAGGAGGATTAAAGTATAGCCATCTCAATCTAACAAGCTCATCTTCAGCAAAGCTTCAAATACCTTCCCAGCAAATCTTTCATACCTTACCATCAATTGTAACATTCACCCATCCATCCCATTTCTCCTTCCTGATCCTGCACAACCAACAAAAGGAGGTACTTTTGTCTCTCTCGCCCACAACTGTTATCTCCAAAACCTGGAAGAGCCCAGCACGTAACAGATAATCTGTAAGAAACTGTTGGCAGAAGAAAGGGAGAGTGGAAAAGAAGGGAGGGATGGGAGAAAAAAGTGTGAAAGGCAAGGCTAGAGAAAAGCAACTTGGATGCCACACAAATTAGAAACAAACCCTAATTTAACTGGATATGATTTTGGAAGCTGAATTATAGCAAAGTGAAACATACAGAGTAAGAAATCTTGGATTTTCATCCTTTAAGAATCAGAAATGTACCTCGAAAGCCACGGAACACAGTCCCCCGAAGGAAGAGAGGAAGAATAACCAAAGGGGGAAAGAAAACAGCAAGAAGGAAAGTCAGTATAAAGACACTGACTGAGACATGGCAAACAATTTGGGTGGGGTAGGACCAAGAGCTGGAATAACAGGCAAAGGGCCACATGTTCTTGGCAAAAAACCCTTTTACGTACTAACGCACACTGCCATGCCTCATTTCCAGGAATCAATCATTTTTAGATTTTTTTTTTTTTTACTGGTTAATTTCCATCTTCATACTATGTAACTAGTCACTTTTCTTGTCATTATAGCCACTTTTGACCACACATATTACAGAACACTTCTGAATAAGAGATACTACTCATACAAGTGAGGTCCTGTTTGCTGGCTATGATACTATCATTTTTTTCCACATTACCTTGGAATCAGCCACTTTACTCAGACCTAACTCTTGAATGACCTTGTTAACCCGTTCATTTTTTTCATGATTTGTCATAGTTGACGGAAGCCGAAGAGCTGCTGAGAACTGTAAGTTTTCTCTCACTGTCAGAGTTCCCATCACGACATCATCCTTAAAGCAAAATGGTATTTTAATAAGAAATATCAGGTCTTTTCTAATACCACCACTCTTCATTATATGTAAAGTAGACTACAAAAATAACACACCCAAAGGTAAAGTTCTAGCTAATGATGAACTTGAAATTATACAAATTACAATAACTGCATATACAGACTGCTGCAAAGCCTGACAAAATCACTTTCATTCCCTATCTGTACACCCCAACAGTACATGGGTAATTTTTATTACAACTAGGAGACATTTCCAGACAGCTCTATACAAGGATTTGCTCTATACAAACATCTTTCGAAGCTAGGGGAAGGAGAGAGGTGAAGGGAGGGCAAAAAAATAAAATAGTGCTGTCTTTTGGAAATGATATAACTAGAATTTTTATCATTGCCCTTACAAGGGTCCTATTTCAGATTCTCTCTGCCTTTTCATTTAACACTACTCTGAATCTCACGGGAGATTATGAAAAGCTGGTGTAAAGAAAGCTGGTTCTAAGAGTATGTCGTATAGTCAGTTGGAAGGATACTGAACTATCAGCTGAGGCACTTGCCCACATAGAAACAGAAGAATAAAATGCAAATCCACAAATACTTACTTGCACCACATAACCTGAATTACACTTGAAATTGGCAGGTTGAGGAGCTCCATTTACCAAAACATCTCCAGATAATCCATGTGGATCTTTCCTTGCAGCTAAGATATCTAACAACCTATGAAAGGACATATATGTTGTTGTATTTTTTTTCTCAAACTGTGGTGTATCTCTCAGCTACTCTGAATCCAGATTTTGCTTAAGTTAGAAAATTAGCTGATCAAGAAATTATATGGTTTAACTAAAATTATATATATGTTTAAATTCTTACTTTCTTTTTTTACTACATGCTACAATAAAGCCCAGAACCATGAAAGTAAGCACCATTGCCTGATCCAACACAGACCTCCCAAAGAGCCTACTGCGCCGTCTGACCTTGTGGCTCCCAAGGCAGGCCATGTTCTCCTTCGTCTAAGACACAGCCTTCACTTCTGCCTTTGGCTCCATCTCCCCACTTTCAATTTTATCCCCTTCCCTTCCCTCACCGTTAACTCAAATCATAGCAGACAACTGTGTGCCAATCACCTTATCATATCCCATTAGTAAAGCTGGCCTAATAGTACCTCGGGACAACCACAAGCTAGCATGACTGTATGTCATCCACAGCACCTAGAACCAGCTAGACACGCAGCAATGGACACCTTCTCATGTAAAAGTGATTTTTAAAGTCACATTAAAGCTGCAGAGAAAAGGCTTACTTATATTGTTATACTCACGAAGATTTGCCTCCACCCGTGGGTCCCAGAATGGCATTGAGGCCAGGTCTCATGATCCCACTGTAAATACAGAAACATAATGACTTATGGCCTTAAATTTGTGGCCTTAAACCTGGTTCTATTAATTTAAGGTTTACACTAAATACACTCAGTGAAAGCTGATGAACATAGACAGAAAACAAGGGCAAACCAACTCTTAAAGGTAAAAGGCACCGAACTGTTGATTAATAGAAGTCTAGCATGCAAAGGATGTTAATCACTAAAAAGAAAAATGGCTCAGGTCCTTCGAAATTCCATTCACTTATTCTCTACACCACTCATATTTTTTGGAAAAGAACACAAGAACTTTCAAGGTTCCTTGAAGTAACAAATTGTAGTGAAGCATCTGTTACACTTACTTCTCTTAACACAGTGTGGAGTTTTTCACAAGTCTTGAATAACATTCGATGACAATTACCGTAAGGTCAACTCATTTGCTACCTAGTCAAGTTTTACACAATAAGTCAAAGGATTTCTAGAATCACCAGCACTAGTGTTCTAACTGCTCAAATCTAGTCAGACCAAGAAACTATATATCTGAAGTAGAATTCAGTGACTAGAATAAAACACCTTAGGGTTAAAAAGAAAACATCACCAATTTTTAATCCTCACAAAATTCTTAATTGAATTAGACAAGTAAAACATACCCTCAGGATGTATCATTTACTTCCTTGTAAAGTATCAGATAAGTGTACTGGAAAATGCTCAAAAGTAGTAGATGCCACTTTCTATATGAGATAACCTTTTTTAAAGGATATATAGATATGGTGTACACACAGCATGTTCCAAAGTAAGCAGATATTTGAGGTAGTGAATATTCAGGTGGAACAAGAAAATGAAAAAAATTAAGGCAGTGTTGATTGTACTGAGACTCAGGAAGACAAATACATTTGACCCTTGAACAACATGGGTTTGAACTGCACAGGTTCACTTACATGAGGATTTTTTTTTCAATAAATATACTGGAAAAGTTTTTGGAGATTTGTGACAATTTGAAAAAACCATTTTCTTTTCTCTAGTTTACTTTATTGTGAGACTATGATATGTAATACACATAACATACAAAATATGTGTTAATAAATGGTTTATGTTATCAATAGGCTTCTGGTCATCAGCAAGCTCTTAGTAGTTAGGTTTCTGGGGAGTCAAAAGTTAATCAGCAGATTTTTTTATTGCATGGAGGTCAGTGCCCCAACACCCACATGGTTCAAGGTCCAAATGTAATTTGAATTTTATCTTGAAGGCAATCAGTAGCACGGTAAAGAGAATGGACAGGAGCAAGGAGAATGAGGTAGGGCCTCTGCAATTGTAAAGGCCTAAAGAAGCTCTTTTAAAACCCTTGTATCTAAACCCAATCTCTCTTTGGAATTGGCAGGTAAGTCACAATTTATTCCACAGAGCAAAGAGTATCTATTCCAAGTGGAAGGTCCAAAGCTGAAAGCTATTTCCTTCTTGGGTAATGATTTTCACAGAGGCCAGTTCTATGATTATGCAGTTGTCATGAGTGATCGCCTTCAGACAGTAAGTGTAGGACATGCCTCAACACGGGAGGATCTTAGCACCAACTACTGTGCTGTGTGAGTGATGGCTGGTGGGGACCAGGGGGAGGTGTACCTTTCACTTGCCCCATTAACCGAGGTGCCTCTCACTGAAACACTGCACAAATGCAATGAGTCAGGCACACCAGGAACAAGGGGAAGAACAGAAAAACCTCATTCTTCCAGTGACCTGCCAACTCCATGTAAAAAGGTTCACTTATGGCTGGGTGACCTTTCAAGATACATTTATCTATAGTTCTTGATGCATCTTTTTTATTAATAGCTACCTAGTAACTACTTCTAAAATGACCAGAAAAAAAGCTTGTTATTCACTAAGACTTCATTGTCAGAAAACCTTTCAAGGTATTTAATATATCTACTTAGATACCAAGAAATCCTAAATGATTAACCCAAAACTGAATGCAAATGTTCTGAGACAAAGAATTTTACAGGTCCTTGAGTTGGGTTTACTTTGGCACTAAACCCTAGCATTATAGAAAACAACGATAATGTACAATCATAAATGCAGGAGCTCTAATTTGGAGTAGTGGTTAATTCTCCCTCATTTCATTCAACACAGTTACCCAGTGTCTACTATGTACATACAAGACACATTCAGGTCATGGGCCACAGCTGAGGATAAAACTCATGAAGTTTGCCTTTCCATCCATGGATCAGCAAATTACAGAACTCACCAGTTTTCTGTTTGCATAAACAAAGTTTTATTGGAATGGAGCCACACCCATCATTTAAGTCAATGGCTGCTTCCATATACTACAATGACAGAGTGAAGAAGCTGCAACACAGATGTATGGCCCATAATGCTGAAAATATTTACTATCAGGCCCTTTACAGACAGTGTGCTGACTGTTGTTCTATATACAGTCTAAATTCCCTCGTTTCCTCACCCTACCTTCCCACCCTAGTATCATCCCTCAAAACCCATTCCCACCCTCATTTACTGCTTTACAGTATTAATGTGCAGGAAAATCACCCTCGCTATACTGTCCAACCTTGCCAACAAGAATTCTGTCATCTGGTTTTAGCCCTACCCCACCCGTCCCATAGCAGGCAGCACAGTAGGCTACAGTGGTTATTCCAGTGAGCACTGAACATATGAAACGAAACAAGTTAAAGGATTGAGGCCACATCTATTACATCTCAGTGGATAATGGTTAATCCTTTGGTCTTGTTTAGGGACCAGAAGTCATTGCCATTCCCACTGCTTGGAGCATTGCCTTTCCCTACCCTTCCCTAAATACACACACACACACACACACACACACACACACACACACACACACACACACACACACACAAAATCTTCATTTTCTCTCTCCCTACTCTCCTGGCCCTCCAATTTAGGGCTAGAGACTTCCATAATGTCTTCTAATCCCCTATTACAGTACAATGACACAGCAAAGTGCTCTAGTTGTCTGAGCCCCTATGAGACTAGGTTTCTGAGTCACCAGCATCCTGCACAACGGCAGGCTCCTCGTAGACATTCAAAATATGTTCATTGAGTCTCTACATTTTTATAAATGGCAATTACTTATAGGAAAACAAACAAAAACGTTTTTCAATAAAAATAAAATTCAAGAAGTAGGAGAAACTTACAAAAAATTGGTATGATCTGATCAGAAAGAAAACTTAGTTATATTCCCTACTTGTTATTTCATGTTTAAGTAATATGTCAATCATCTCTATTAGACCTCCCTTCTTAGTGCAAAGGTGAAGGAAGTTCTGGGTGAAGTTCTCAAGAACCCAGTCTAAGAAGGGAAGTGGGAGGAAGGAGAAGACAGCTGGGGGGTGGGGAGATTTCTTTTATTAAGGAATAAGAAAATTGAATCAGCAAATCATAAGTATATTTAGGAAAATGAGAGCTGGGTTTTCACTTTCTGAGATGTTTTACAAAAATGGAAATGTGGGATATTAGATCACAATTAGAAGTATTCACGAGAAGTCATGGGTTTTAATCTATACATACAAATAGATACAGAAAGTTTTAGATCTATGTATAGTCACATGTGTGTACATATATACACACATACGTTTCCCAGGTCTGTCTACCAAGAAGGCTTAGAAGTTATGACATCCCAATAGCAATGAACATTCCAAACACCCACGTCTTGATTTGTAAATACCATCTTCCCCCAAAAGGAACATCAGCTGATTACAGGTTTGAGGCAAAGTACACAGTGAATCTGGAACTTCTTACTGTTCCAACAAAATACTCAAAGAATGAGAGGATATGTCAAGAGGATGTGTTAAAAAGCAAAACAAAACACAGAACCTACCTTAAAAGTTCTCCAAGTAACTAAATGAGGAATAGGCTGATCGAAATGAACAATGATAAAAATGCATTACTACTGAATACTATTGAATAAAATATGAATCCATGAGTCTATACTGATATAAAGAAATAAATGAACAGGTGCTGAAGAGTATTTTTGACTTTTAGTAGAAAGGAATCTAATCCATACAGAAGAGGGGGATGAAAACAGAACACTACCCTTTGGTAACTCTCAGAGTGATAGACACTGTTGATTCAGGCAGGAGTCACCAATGAGTGCTGAAGCTGGTGGCCCAAAATTTAATTTTATAGATCCCAAAATAGTCTAATGTATTTCCCTGAAGATTATAGGACATGCACACATCTACTGGAATGGACCATTTTTTCCATAGATCTTCAGCATTGGTGAGGAAAAGATCAAATGCTGGGTAAGGACATAAACTAAGCATAATAGAAAGGTTTTTCATAAGGCAGTAAAATCTCACCTTTTTTAATTCTCATAATCAGATATTGTTTTATCTCCTGAGGACATCAAGTTCTAGTTACTTAGTTCTACAAATGAGATTACAAAATGTCCAAAGGGAAAACAAAAATCAACATTCTCATCAGATTATTTGGAATATAGTTACTACTTTGAACGGTGGTGGTGCTAATCAACCACAAATCAAAAATAAGGTAAATGAGAGCAACCTATCCCAGAATCTCTACCTAGCTGAAGCCAGCAGATAGAAAAAAAGATTAGAAATACTGCAGCAAAAAAAGGGATGGTCTTGCTCATGGATGCCTAAACCAGGAATTTAAGTAAATAAGAAAACCAACCCCTGGCATTCTTTTAAATGTATAATTTGAAAGAATTGCAAATTTGATTGAGCTTTATGAATCTAATAATGCACACAAGGATAAACTCATTTATTGCTAAAATGCATATCACTGAACAATAAAGACATAAAGCCTTGAGCAAATAATGCTTTTATTGTATCAAGCTATGATCACCTAGCTTGAAAACATAACATAAATGGACCTTCAGACAGTATGCACTTTAAATCTGTTCAATCCACACATATTTAAATCATTTGTTACCTTTCACATATTGGCACAAAATCTGAAGTGACCAGCATTTTTGCTCCACAAAAATCTTGTCAGCTTTTCAGAAAGGTCAGTCAATTCTAATCTAGGCTTCCAGCAAAAGAGAAAAGTTTTGCATGGACCATTCCTGTCCTTATTCTCCTAGTCAAAATTTCTTAACCAACACAACAAAGCAACATGGAAGTGGGTTTGACAGTAGGTGTTATTGCATGGAGAACATTCTCCCTAACCCTACAACAGCACCTGACCTCAAGGCAACCCAGTCCAGAACCCCAGTGAATCTTCCCCACCCATATCCAAAAACTTTCTCTCTATTTATCATCTCCTGGCCCTTGGGAAGCATTTTGCTGCTAGTAACGGAAAAGACCACAATCCCATCTTATGCAACAAGAAAACATGAAAGACATCTGATTCCATATACATTTTCAGCCAAAGGGCACACTTATAACCACTCCTCTAGTCTTAGAGAGCCAGAAAAAGTCAATTGCTTGTCTGGAGTAATTATTTCCTCTGTGAAACAAATTACCAAAACACATAGGCCATGCAGTCTGAGCAAACCTACATTCACTCTCCACTCCAAAGGTAACATGAATCAGGCTCAGTTCTCTAGAAATCAGAAAAATATAAAAACCCTAATGGCTATGAAAGAACAGAGATACATGGGACCAAATAGATTATGTATATTCATTTCTCTGCTCATTCTACACCACATGATGAAGCTGTTGCTGGATGAAGAGAATGAAAATCAGTTTTGTACTGATATGAATTGTAAAATATAATTCAATGTAGTGATTTGAATCCTAAATTCTCTAATGACTTTGACTTCAACTGTGTAACTTAAGCTAAGCTATAGTTGTCTTATATTTAAATAGTTTCTGTCTCTATAAGGGGGGGAAGCATTAAGTAAATGGTTATAGATTATAAACTACTATATAAACAGACCACTCATTTAAAACAAGCGTATTTGAAAACCGAAGTACTTTTACAATATATTGTCATTTCAACTTCCTGACTCTTGTAGAACGTAAAGGACATAAAGTATCTAAATGCCTAAGTACCTAAAGTATCTGGCTCATAAGGTTCAGTAGATCTCTCTGTTTCATAGATTAGAAAACTGAAGCTCAGAGATTACAATATATCCCCATGATCAAGAAGTAATAAATCATATGGCCAGGCCACTTTTCACTAAACCACAAGGCTTACCCAGGAAAAACCCAATGACACATTAATTGTTTGGTTTCTCAAACAGAAGTTGATGCACACAGTACTACCACTTTAAAAACAGTTTGGCAGTCCTTTCAAAAGTTAAATATACACCAAATATGTGATCCAACTATTTTTTTATTTTTTTTAATTAAGGTGTCATTGATATACAATCTTATGAAGTTTTCACATGAGTAACATTGTGGTTTCAACATTCACCCATATCATCAAATCCTCATACCCCATTGTAATCACTGTCCATCAGCGTGGTAAGATGGCTATAGAGTCATTACTTGTCTTTTCTGTACTGTACTACCTTCCCCATGACCTACCTATATTGTGATTGCTATTATAGTGCCTGTTAATCCCTTTCTCCCTCCCTCCCCGCACACCCTCCTCAACCCCTTCCCTTTGTAACTGCTAGTCTCTCCTTGGAATCTATGAGTCTGCTGCTGTTTTGTTCCTTCAGTTGTCAGTTTTGCTTTGTTGTTATACTCCACAAATGAGTGAAATAATTTGGTACTTGTCTTTTTCTGCCTGGCTTATTTCACTGAGCATAATACCCTCTAGCTCCATCCATGTTGTTGCAAATGGTAGGATTTGTTTTCTTCTTATGGCTGATAATATTTCATTGTGTATATGTACCACATCTTCTATCCACTGATGGTGATGCAACTATCTCACTTCTAGTTTAGCCAGAAGAAATGAAAGCATATTTACGGACTTGCACACAAACGTTCACAAAATCTCAATTTGCAATTAGCAATACCTATGAAGCTCACTGTATGTCAATAAAACTATTTAAATAAAAGTTAATGCACATACTTGATATTTGACAGTATTTCTTTTTCAACTGTTTTTCGACCAAGTAGAAAGCCACTCTTCACTTTAACTCGATAGCAGATGTTATGAAAACTTAATACTGTCCCTTCAGTTAATGTCTTCAGGTCATTGGAGGTCATCCCAGGGAGGCAACTGGTGTTTCTTTGTGCCATTGGGACAAAAACTTGGTCATTACTGGAAGACATCTGGAGAATTTCTGCCTTTCTGTAGAGGTAAAAGCAACAGTAAGTTGGTAGTACAGATAAATGAGGTTATAAACACTAGTTAACAGTAAATTTAAAACAAGTCCATCTTGGTGAAAATTTCCAGTTACAAAATACCTAAGTCCTGGAGATGTAATGTACAGAATGGTGACTATGGTTAATAGTACTACATTATATATTTGAAAGTTGCTAAGAAAGTAGATCTTAAAAGTTCTCATCACAAGAAAAAAAATGTGACTTTGTGTGTGATGGATATTAACTAGACTTACTATGATGATTATTTCTCAATATATACAGATATTAAATTATTATGTTATATGCCTGAAACCAATATAGTGTTATATGTCAATTAAATCTCAATTTAAAAAATAATTTAAAGAGATCCAAATATTATTTAAAGGATGTAAAATATCACATTAGTCATTCTTACATTGATTACAAGCTTAAGTAAAAATATTTTGGATATATTGGGCTCAATAAAATATACTACTAATTTTATTTTTTAATTTTTTTAATTTTTAATTTTGATATCATTAATGTACAATTACTTGAACAACATTAAGGTTAGTAGACTCTCCCCATTATCAAGTCCCCCCCACATACCCCATTAAAGTCACTGTCCATCAGCATAGTAAGATGCTATAGAATCACTACTTGTCTTCTCTGTATATACTGCCTTTCCTGTGCCCCACACACACACATTATGTGTGCTAACAGTAATGACCCATTTTCCCCCTTATCCTTCCCTTCCCACCCACCCGCCCCAGTCCCTTTCCCTTTGGTAACTGTTAGTCCATTCTTGGGTTCTGTGATTCTGCTGCCGTTTTGTTCCTTCAGTTTTTGCCTTGTTGTTATACTCCACAGATAAGTGAAATCATTTGATACTTGCCTTTCTCTGCCTGGCTTACAGTTAGGATGGACAACATACAAAAGACAAACAACAACAAATGTTGGCAAGGATGTGGAGAAAGGGGAGCCCCCCTACACTGCTGGTGGGAATGTAAACTAGTTCAACCATTGTGGAAAGCAGTATGGAGGTTCCTCAAAAAACTAAAAATAGAAATTCCATTTGACCCAGGAATTTCACTCCTAGGAATTTGCACTAAGAATGCAGCAGCCCAGTTTGAAAAAGACATATGCACCCCTATGTTTATCACAGCACTATTCACAATAGCCAAGAAATGGAAGCAAACCTAAGTGTCCATCAGTAGATGAATGGATAAAGAAGATGTGGTACATATACACAATGGAATATTATTCAGCCATAAGAAGAAAACAAAACCTACCATTTGCAACAACATGGATGGAGCTAGAGGGTATTATGCTCAGTGAAATACTACTAATTTTTTAAGAAAACAAGTTTGTTTTAAACTGCAATGTAGTAAATAGCTCCATTTCCAATGAACGGGCCATATCATGGTGACAAGAACAATGCTGGAGTCTATATTAGGGAAGCAGTTACAACTCTGAATACATAAACTCCAATTAGATGTCAATGAAACATCTAATAAGTAAATATGAACAGTATGAAAATTACTCAAAACTTATGAAACAGGAAAAAAATAAGTGGGAGTTAGACTTATCTGGTTTGAAAAGCATATATGATTTAGACTGAAGATCAAAGCCAGACTGATCACCATCACCCCATTTTTGTTTGCTTATTTGCTTTAATTTGGAGCTTATGATGTAAATTATTACAAAAAGAGGGTTAGCCAGGCAATCAGGGACAAGAGAAATTTCTCTGAATCTATATAGATCCAGACTTTGCATCCCTGCTTGTTATATTCCTTCAGTTAGCTAAGAAGATAAAGTCCAAAACTGTTTGGGATAACACAGTCATTTCCTTAATAAGTGATCGAATTTAAATTCTAGGAAGATTTAGAATTAAGTATAAAAATGATTAAGAAAGTCAAACCAATGGTTAATCAGGTAAAAAATTTAAAACAAAAACTCAGTATTAAATGAAGTTTAAAATGTTTCATTATGTGTGCTAACAGGTTACAAAAGTCCCCTTTAAAAGATTTAGACTGAGATCTTAAGGTAAACTTAATAGCTTGGGAAATAGGTTTGAAATGTGAAACTTTCACAGACCTAGTTTTCATTTTTAAAAAGCAAAGTAACTCATGAAGAACTTCCTCTCTGGCTATGATAAATAGTTGTTCCAAACCAATCATCCTCCTAAGAACAACTGTAAAAAATATAGGATGCAACTGTTTGTTTAATTCTCTCTGATGAGAGCAACCAATCAACCAGGACTTGAGGTGCCCAAATCCTGGAAAGGAGGGAACATGAAGGCAAAACCAGAATTGAGTGCCCTTTCCTTTTGAGGTAAATTGCACACATGTAGGGTAAAACTCAGAAAAAACAGGCAGAAAAAGCTGCTAGACGCCAAAATGTTAGCAGCCTCTCACTGCTAGGAGATGAATTTGGAGTTGCAAGTCTACCAACTGGAAGCCCCATGCTTTTGAGATCCCAGAAGGGTTATGCCCTGAGAATATGGGCAACCCAGAAACAGACCAGCCCTTCCTTAATCAAAGTGATCCACTCATACTTTATTTTTCTGCTAGAAAAAAGTTAAATCTACTCTGAAAGATATGATTGTCCAAATTTTCAATCAAAAATTACCAAGAAGAAACAAATCCTACCATTTGCAACAACATGGATGGAGGTAGAGAGTATTATGCTCAGTAAATAAGTGAGGCAGAGAAAGACAAATACCAAAAGATTTCCTTCATTTGTGGAGTATAACAACGAAGCAAAACTGAAGGAACAAAATAGCAGCAGACTCACAGACTCCAAGGGACTAGCGGTTACCAAAGGGAGGGTGGAGGATGTTGGGTGGGGAGGGAGGTAGAAGGGCTTTGAGGGGTATTATGGTTAGTACACATTGTGTGAGGGGTCACGGGGAAGGCAGTGTAGCATAGAGAAGGCAAATAGTGAATCTGTGGCATCTTACTACACTGATGGACAGTGACTTCAGTGGGGTGTGGTGGGAGATGTCTCTATATAAGGGTGAATGTAATAACCACATTGCTTTCCTTGATACCTTAATAAGAAACAAAAAACTACAAAATGATTTAAAAAAAAATTACCAGGCATGCCTGAAAACAGGACCTAATGTTAAAAAAAAAAAACAGGAAAAATAGAAATAGACCCAGTAATGCAGACTAGATTCATCAAACATTGTCATTAAAATAACTGAATAATATGTTTAAGAAAAATAAATGAAAAAACAGACTATCACCAAAGACCCAGAATCTGTATTTTTAAAAAATCATCTATGCTGATGGACAGTGACTATAATGGGTTATGTGGTGGGGACTTGATAATAGGGGGAGTCTAGTAACCATAATGTTGTTCAGGTAATTGTACATTAATGATAGCAAAAAAGAAAAATCAATAGATGAATTTAACAGTAGTTTAAAAACAGATTAGTAAAGAGAATCAGTGAACTGGTAGATTGGTATGTACAAAAAAATTCCAAAGCAAAGCATGGATGAAAATTATCATCATGGACAAGAAAAACAAAATGAAAATTCCATGAAACAGCTTAAGAAACATATGGAGCATGATTAAAAAGGTCTGGCACACATGTAAGTGAAGACCATGGGAGAGGAAAAAAATGGAGCAGAATCAGTATTTGAAAAAATACTGCCAAATATTTCCCAAAGCTAATGAAAGTTATCAAGCCACAGATTGAAGAAGCTCTAGATCACCAAAGCAGGATAAATATGAGAGAATCATACCTGAGCTTATCAGAGTAAAACTGCCAAAACCCAAATTAATCTCTGAGAAATTGTTTCTGTATGCAAAAACTGCTCAATTGTTATCACATTTATAGCACTCTATTCAATTTTGGAAGCTGGAAAGTAGAAGATTGGCCTCCAGGAAATTAAAGGTAAATAGCTTAATTTTAAATCACTGAACACAACAAATGATAATAATTAGCCAAAATCCTATTCTCTTAAAGCAGTGAAAGAGAAGGTACAAAATCAAGTAATTTACAGACCTTACATGTTGACTTATGAACTTCTTAAGCTGTGTCCCCATGTCTTCAGAAGCCAAACTATGCCAGTTCTAATGCCAGCAATCTTTCTCCTACTGCCATTCCCATTTGGTGTTCAATCACTTAGGACACTCTCTAAACCTCTTGCAAGACTCATTAAGAGAACCAAATAACATACTGTTTGAATTTAAGGAGGTCACTGGATCAAGAAGGAAATTGTTAGGAGATTTTTTGGTGAGATATTCTGCTAATAAAAGGTACCAACTAGAAAGAAGTACCCAGGAAAGATCATCCAGGCTCATCCAGGCCCGTACAAGACAGGTGGCTAAAACAGATAAATACAATCACAACTTTAGAAATGTGTACAGAGCTTGCCTTCACTGTGATAGGATTATTTGTAATCACATTTTGTAAGGGGTGCCTGGTTCCTCATTAGGATTCTAGCAATCTTCTCAGGAAGACAGCAGAATCTCAGTAATTCTTGTATTACAAGTCAAATGACACCATCCAGCTGATGCACATTGTATCAAAGAACAGTTTTTTTTTTTACTTCTAACAACAATGTGGAATGATGCATTGCTCTAAGATGAAACAAAAAATCTATAGTAATGATTACAAAATAAAGAACGTATTAACCTTAAAGTACTCCATCTCCAGTTAAGACAGTGCTCTGGGTTTAGATGAGTCACTGCCAGCAACTGCCTTTCTCCATGGTCAGAAGCTTTCTGGGCATATATGTTGCTCCCAGTGGAATAGCATAATCTTTTCTTTAATATTTAGTATTATTGGGAGTTTATTAAATATGAGACCCTACATTTACTGCTTTGAAATTTTTTTATTAAGGTATCATTGATACACAATCTTATGAAGTTTCACATGAGCAACATTGTGGTTACAACATTCACCCATATTATCAAGTTCCCCCCACATACCCCACTGCAGTCACTGACCATCAGTGCAGTAAGATGCTATAGAGTCACTAGTTGTCTTCTCCA